GTTTAAAGCCAATACCTGTCACTACACGCCCTTGTAAAAAGTCCCTTTCCAGCTTTCTTGTAGGCGCCCTTTAGGTACTGGAAGGCTACTGTAAAGTCTTTCTGGAGCCTTCTCTTCTCCAGGCTGAACAACCCCAACTCCCTCAGCCTGTCCTTATAGGAGAGGTGTTCTAGTCCTCTGATCATCTTCATGGCCCTCCTCTGGACTTGCTCCAACAGGTCCATTTCCTTCTTATGCTGGAGGCCCCAGAGCTGAACACAGAACTCCAGGTGGGGTCTCACACGAGTGGAGTAGAGGGGGAGAGCCCCCTCCCTTGACCTGCTGGTCATGCTTCTTTTGATGCCCAGGACACGGTTGGCTTTCTGCTCTCCAAAGGCACATTGCCAGGTCATGTTTTGCTTCTCGTCAACTGACAGCCCCAAGTCCTTCTCCTCAGGGCTGCTCTCAATCTCTTCATCTCCCAGCCTTTATTTGTGCTTGGGATTGCCCGGACCCATGTGCTGGACCTTGCACTTGGCCTTGTTGAACTTCATGAGGTTCTCACGGGCCCATGTCTCAAGCCTGTCAAGGTCGCTCTGGACGGCATCCCTTCCCTCCAGTGTGTCAACTGCACCACACAGCTTGGTGTCATCAGCAAACTTGCTGAGGGTGCACTCAATCCCACTGCCCATGCTGCTGACAAAGATGTTAAACAGCGCCAGTCCCAATACCGACCCCTCAGAAACACCACTTGTCACTGGTCACCACTCAGACATCGAGCTGTCGACCATAACTCTTTCAGTGCAACCATGCAGACAATTCCTTGTCCACCGAGTGGTCTATCCATCAAATCCACGTCTCTCCAATTTAGAGACAAGGATGTTGTGCGGGACAGTGTCAAATGCTTTGCACAAGTCCACGTAGATGACGTCTGTTTCTCTTCCCTTATCCACCAATGCTGTAACCTCATTGTAGAAGGCCGCCAAATTTGTCAGGCACGATTTGCCCTTAAAGCCATGTTGGCTGTCACCAATTATGTCTTTATTTTCCATGTGCCCTAGCATAGTTTCCAGGAAGATCCGCTCCATGATCTTGCCAGGCACAGAGGTGAGACTGACTGGCCTGTAGTTCCCCAGGTCTTTTTTCCCCTTTTTAAAAATGAGGGTTATGTTTCTCTTTTCCAGTCAGTGGGAACTTCCCTGGCCTGCCATGACTTCTCAAATATGATGGATAGTGGCTTAGCCACTTCATCTGCCAGTTCCCTCAGGATCTGCAGATGCATCTCATCAGGTCCCATGGACTTGTGCACCTTCAGGTTCCTTAGATGGACTTGAACCTGATCTTCTCCTACAGTGGACAGTTCTTCATTCTCCCAGTCCCTGCCTTTTCTTTCTGTGACTTGGGTGGTGTGGCTGGAGCACTTGCTGGTGAAGAGTGAGGCAAAAAGTAGCTGAGTACCTCAACCTTCTCCATAACCTGGGTAACCAGGTCTCCTGTTTCCTTCCAGAGAGGGCCCACATTTTCCCTAGTCTTCCTTTTATCACTGACATATCTATAGAAGCTTTTCTTGTTGCCTTTGATATCCCTGGCCAGATTTAATTCTATCAGGGCTTTAGCTTTCCTCACCTGATCCCTGGCTGCTCGGACAATTTCTCTGTATTCCTCCCAGGCTACCTGACCTTGCTTCCACCCTCTGTGAGCTTCCTTTTTGTGTTTGAGTTTGTCCAGGAGCTCCTTGTTCATCCACACAGACCTCCTGGTGTTTTGGCTTCCTCTGTTGTTAGGATGCATTGCTCCTAAGTTTGGGCAATATTCCTTGAATATTAACCAGCTTTCTTGGGCACCTCTTTGGTCCAGGGCTTTATCCCATGGTACTCTACCAAGCAGATCCCTGAAGAGGCCAAAGTCTGCTCTCCTGAAGGCCAGGGTAGTGAGCTTGCTGTGCACCCTCCTCACTGCCCTAAGGATCTTGAACTCCACTGTTTCATGGTCACTGCAGCCAAGGCTGCCCTTGAGCTTCACATTCCCCACCAGCCCCTCCTTGTTGGTGAGAACAAGGTCCAGCATAGCACCTCTCCTCGGCTCCTCCATCACTTGGAGAAGGAATTTATCATCAACACATTCCAGGAACCTCCTGGATTGCTTATGCCCTGCCGTGTTGTCCCTCCAACAGATATTGGGGTGATTGAAGTCCCCCATGAAGACCAGGGCTTGTGAACGTGAGGTGCTCCTCTCTGTCTATAGAGGGTCTCACCCACTCGGTCTTCCTGGTCGGGTGGCCTGTAGCAGCCCCCCACTATAATGTCACCTGTCCCTGCCCTCCCTTTAATCCTGACCCATAACCTCTCTGTCAGCTCCTCATCCATCCCCAGGCAGAGCTCCATGTGCTCCACCTGGTCATTGACATAGAGGGTGACACCCCCTCCTTGTCTTCCCTCCCCATCGTTCCTAAAGACCCTGTATCCTTCCATTCCAACACGCCAGTCACAGGACCCATCCCACCACATCTCCATGATGCCAGTAAGATCACAGCCCTGCAGCCGTGCGCACATTTCTAACTCTTCTTGTTTATTCCCCATGCTACGTGCGTTTGCACGTATCTGACTGGAGAAGAGCTGGTGGACTGTTCCATCTCCTAGTACTTATCTATGCCATGAGTACATACAGACTCCGTTGTGCTTCTACTGATTTTGGAGCAACATGGAAAGGGTTGGGGGAATTTTTCAGAAACACTTGAGCTGACTACACATAAGCCAGCGTCAGTCAAGAAGTAGCTTAGCACAGGGAAGTGGTTTCTGAGGATGGGGATCATTAGGTTGTAGCATCTCTTGAAATCTCCATTCTGGTAATACTGTGAGCTACAGTGTCTGTTCTCTGATGGAAAAATCGACATTCCCTCTCTGCTCTCTCTGCGATATCTTGCCTACATTTAGTTCCTGGCAGCAGGACTTGGGAACTAGAGCACTGCTGTGGGCTAATGAAACTACCTAACTCTTAGTAGTGCTCAGTCTCCTCTAAAAATAAGATTTGTGTCTCTGACAGCAGAATAAGTGCTGAATTTCGTTCTCTATTCAGTGCTGGAGGCAGATTTAGTAAGAACAAAACTCCTAACACCCAGCATGCTGACAGTGGGGAATCCTGACGTGGGGCCATGGTCCCAGATACAGGGATTTTGTTTCTCTGAAGTGACAACCATACCCTGCCCAGCACCTCTGTGAGATTGACTCACTTTGAAGCTACAGCTAGTGGCCAGTACTGAACTACCATTATTACCCCTGCATGTTTATTTATGCCATAGCTGTTCATTGTAAAATATATTAACAACTTTTGGAGCAAGGGCTCATTTCAGCATCATAGAGAGTCAGACACCATTTGTTTTCTCTCCCTCCAATCTTGTGACTTAGCTGTGGAGCAATCAAACTTCAAGTGGAGAGGAAAGCACCTTTCTATTATGGCATTTTCCTCACCCCAAGGCAACCATAAACTGCAGAATAAAACACTCTTGCGGGAAAAACATGTATTCAAGTCTCTGAAACCAGAGGAGGGAACTGGTTTTTCCATTTCAGGGAGGATGGCTAAGCTTTTAGGAAAAATGTGCCCTGAGAGGGCTGTGAGTGCTACTGAGCCCTGTGCTATATGTGGTGTGTTGCATGTACTTTGTTGCTGAATTAAACCCCTCAAAGACTCCAGTGCAGGGATCCCTGATGTATAAATCCCAGACAGCTTCAGCAGGAACAAGCACAGAGACGTGCAGCAAAGCTGAGGTGGCAGCATCTCTGTGCATGGCCAGTTTTGCTTTCTGGTGAAACTCAAAGCTTTTAAAGTCTCTCAGATTCCTAAGGATTTCAGAATTTAGGCTGTTACTGCTATACTTAAGCACCTAAATTCTACCTAGATTGGACAGGAGATGCCTATGTGCTCTTGAGGATCTTAAAATTCCCTATGTCTGAACAGAGTAAAATAGGCCAAGCAGAGAATGATGCTAATGCAACTTAGCATATCCAGGTACCAGAATTAAATAATTTAGGATAGATCAACTCTTCAGTGTGCTGGCTGGGTGCTGCCTGGGCTAATTGCAACTACAGAGTTGTAAATTGCATGCACCAAAATCAAGACCTGTGTATGTAAATTACTAGATGAGCCTATGTAAATCGCTAGATGAGCCTATGTAAATCGCTAGATGTAACACATATTTGGAGCCTGGAGCAAAACTTAGCATTGTTTATAAAGACTGGGAGAGCATGATGATGATTTTAGGCTCAGATATTACAAGGAGAAGGTAAACTTGGATGTGAGGCATTGCTCTGGTTGCTTGCCAAATAAAAACACTGGAGTGTCAGTAGGGTGAACTGAGAGCTTGGTCCTGCTGTGGTGCTCTGCAGCTGTGCACACCGGGCTGAGCATCCTCCAGTTCTGCCCTGCAGCAGCTCTGAAAGTCCTGCCTTCAGTGCTGTGACTTTGACCCTTCTGAACCCCTCCAGCAAACAGCTTTCCTCTCATACTTCAACATAGAGATCCCCCTGCCCCAACCTCGTATGTCCCGTACACAGCCATAAAGCTGGAAAACGGAACTCCCAACCTTCCTTCCCCTGCCTGATCCCTCAGCCTGGATTTATTTCCCAAGGCTGCTGATGGTTGAATGACAATAGTTTGTGCTCAGCGATGGCAGTCTGAGGGGATTTGCATTGTGAAGTTCCTTGACAAGCCAAAGGAGCGGAGCGGTGTGAGAGGAGGGGGTGGGTGGAGAGATGCTCTGCCAGCCAGGCAGGCGGGATCGCTCCGGCAGTGGCTCTGCCGAGAGCTTTCACTCTGAATCCCCAGGGAGGGAGGCTTTCTCTCACTCCAGGCTTCTCCCCTGCCACACGAGAGGGACGGCGAGAGGAGAAAGCAGAAGGGTCCCTTCACGCCGGCAGCACCCAACTGTCCAGCTCGCATCCGCAGCAGGCAAACCATGAGGAAGAGTCTCTTTGCCCCTACAGTCACTTCGCCTTTGATTTAAAACTTTCACCCACTTCCAGAAGGGACAATGGAGGAGCAATACATTTCCAAACTCCACCCGGTTGTGGATTATGGAGCTGGAGTCTTTCTTCTGATCATAGGTGAGTTCTGCCTTCACAGCCTGCTTGTTTGCTTCAAGCCCAGGAGCGGACGCACCGGGGCTGCCCTCTCTGTGCTGTGGTCGGCACCGGCAGCTCCAGTGGAAGCTGGAGGGAAATGGTAGAAAATCTGTTTCCACACAGGTTCCTGCTTATTGCCTTCGAGTCGGTTGGATGCCAGGATTAATCTCTGCTCTCAGATTTGCAATCTTTCGTATCGATGCTGAAGATCTGCCAGCATAAGTTTGCCTCTGCGGCATCACAAGTATCCAAAATGAGTTGTCCGCCACTTATCCTGGCATCTCAGCCCTGTGAATTTTGAGAGATGAGGCAGCCCGTTTCATGAGACTGATTGGGGAGAGCAACTTTGGGCTGCTCCTTGCGTGGGGGATGTTCATTATGCATGAAGAGTAGCTATGTCTTGGTAGGATAAACTGGTATAAAACAGCAAAGGGTTTCCAAATAGCACTTTTGGGTTTTATAATGGCCTGTTTGCCCTGCTGAAGGCAGATTTACAATGAAATACAAGTCTGCTCCAGCTCAGCTTTAGCTAAGCATTTTCTTCCTTGTCTGTTTGTTGCATGTACCCAGGTGATTTGTTTACTATCAGATTTGGAGAGGAGCTGAACTGGTTTAGGCATGCAGTCCAACTGAATTTTGCTGAGATGCAAGTACCTTCTTCCCTTCAGCTCATTCGAAAACCCTGGCTGAGATGCATTTAAGGAAGACAAGCATATATTTTTATGTGCTTTAATAGAGAAGCTTTGGGCAGCAATGCTGGGCTTTAGCATTTCACATCTCACCCCTGTTCCTTCACACTTTTCCCTGCACCGCACTGTGCTGTCTCCTCAGCTGTGCTGACAGCAGAGAGTACAACTCAGGGTGAGAAAAATCACTATCTGCAAAACAACGAAGGGTTTTGCTTTTAATCCAAGTCAGGATGCCAGCTCCTCTCTCATACAAATGTAAATACGTAGATACAGTTCAGGTAATGGGACGGGGCAGCAACAAAGGGCTGGAGGCTGGAGCTACCCTTGCTGATACTGCTCTTGTGCCACCATGCTACAGTCTCACACCTCTCTTAAAGGGCTTTTAGGCACCTAAGCTTCAGGCATAGCTTCCAGCACTGGATCAAGAGCCTCCTGTGTCAGCCAGGCTCACTACATTGCGTAGGTAGTCTCAGAAACATCCCATATACGAAGCAGTCAGCTTAACTGGAAACCTTGTTGTATTTATCCGTAGCTTTGCCACCCCACTGGGGGCTGCGGCAAGGCCTATATGTCCCCTGAAATTATGTTCTCATTAGGAAACAACAAAGCCAGGGCACGGGCTGCAGCACTCACCACAAACCTCTCTGCTAGCTGATTACTAGCCCACTCTTGCACAGTTTTGTCCCGTGCCGGCCACAGGCGGTGGGATGGAGGGGAATAGCATCTCTCCAAGGAAAAGAGAGGGTGAGCCTGGATGCCCACCGCTGATGGTAAGACTAAACTTCCCTACCTCTTGCGTAGTGCTTAGGGCTCCCTCAGAAGAAAGTGAACCGGGTTCATTTTCCTCCTGAAGCCCGAGGACGTCCCAGCCTGCGGCCGTCATTTGGCAGGAGAGTGTTCTTCCCACCAAGCCACAGGTTGCTCTCTGTCAGCAAGCGGTCCTGTGCCAAGCCACCGTGGGCATCTCCGTGTGCAGACACACAACGCTTGAGAGCTCAGGGAACTCTTTAGACGTATCCAGAGGTGCCAAGTGAATGCATGTGGTTAAAAAGTCAATGAATGAGGGATGTGGGGTCTCAGATCTGTACCTCTGTTTCATTTAAGGCTTTCTCCTGACACCTCTGCCTATTCTTGGATTTATGCTACTGTATTTATGTCATTTTGTTGCACATGCCTTTATTAATTCCTCTGTGGGCACTTTATTACGGGGTATGTGCAAGCAAATGCAGCCTTCTAGCATTCACAGCGACGAGAGAACATGACAGAGTCTTTTCTGTTTCCTTATTTCACTTCTGACTGTAGAGGACACCTTCTCAGGAAAACCTTTGATCAGAATGTAGCTCCAGCACAATGTTCACTTGAAAGAAAAGAGAAAACGAGTTGTTTGCCACATGTACTTTTGACACTGTTGTCGTGAACGCTTTGAAGCCCTGTGGCATATCTGAATAATGTATATCTGACGGGGTTTTTTGCAAAGTAATCTCTGGTCTGTTGCATGCCTCTGGCTAAACAATTTCTATGGTCTGTCTCACTGCGCTCAGAGACCACCAGAACAGTGTGGGTGTCTGAACTGCGGCACATAGTCATTCTCAGCCGCTTGACCAGCGAGGACCCTGAGCTGCCCAGCCAGCACATGTCGACTATCAAGGCAGCTCAGAGTCCAGGAGGCTTGTGCTGGGGCTCCAGTGGAAGATACGTTGCAAAGAGGGACGGTTTTGGGATGTGGGGGGCATCAGACGGGAGGAGGGGACAAGCAGACAGGACAGCTGGAGTTCTCCAGCAGGAAGGAGAAGTAAGCAGGGATATTACCAGGGAAAAATGAAGGTGGATAGGTCCATTTTACTTGATAGCGTGTTGTGCAAGATACCGTAAAAGAGTGGAGCTATTCACATGAGATACGAGCCGCAAGGGAATAGGTGGGATATAGTGCATGGAGAGGGGGAGTGTGACATGGAAATGAAGAGCTATAGTGTGGTGATGTGAAGGGGCAAGATATGGTCTACTATTCATATGACAAAATTTCCCCCAGTCGGTAAGGCAGGCCAGCACTACAGGAGGCTGTGAACAGAAAACTGACGTGCTCTTTGCTCTAGCAGGTCCATAGTGGAAACACAGCCTGACTGGGAAATCCCTGTCTAGCAGGGAGGCAGGAATTGAAACCCAAAAGCTGGCTGAAGCAAAAGAGTGGATGCTGTGGTGAGGATGCTGAGCTGTGTAGCAGCTCTCAGAAATGCCATCCAGGTGGCATGTCCTATCTGCTATCTAAGAGAACACGTTTCCTCGCCACGAGCTGAAGAACAAGGTTTCGCAGCAGAGCGTGGCAGATACATGCCCGCGTGTTTTCAAAGCATCAGCCCAGCACTGTGTTGTCCCGGGAGGTGCTGAACGCTGGCTCGTCTTCCAGTCTGTCCTGTCTTCTAGACTTTAGTCCCAGGCTAACGACCAGCATTTTCACATCCTTTGTATAGATAAGCATTTCACAGGTGTGCTGACCAGGGGATATTAATGCCTGTGCTGATTCTTCTCTTTCAGCCATCCTGACAATCCTTGGAAATTCAGCCGTCCTTGCTACAGCTGTGAAACGCTCTTCCCTCCTGAAGTCACCGGAGCTGCTTACAGTCAACTTGGCAGTAGCAGACATTGGAATGGCACTCAGCATGTATCCGCTGGCCATTGCATCTGCCTGGAACCACGCTTGGCTGGGAGGAGATGCGTCCTGCATATATTATGCCCTGATGGGTTTCCTTTTTGGTGTCTGCAGCATGATGACCCTGTGTGCCATGGCTGTGATTCGATTCCTTGTTACCAATTCATCCAAGTCTAACAGTAAGTAATTACATTTCTGGTAACCTTGTAGTGGTGCATTTGGGCTATTATGTTCAGAGAGGTGCTTTGCTGAATAGGGGATGGAGTATCAGTTCAGTAACCGTAGGAATAAGACTCAGCTTTTAGTCCAGTATCAAACCCTAATGTTCCTAGAAGGATCTGATTAAATTCCTTATTAAACAATGAGGTTTCTCACTTCTCAGTAATACCAAGTGAAAACACCTGAGAGTGGAGAGCCCAAATGTTTTGCTGGACCAGACTGTCTTTTCTTCCTATTTATGTGCAAGCAGACACACTGGAATTTGAGAGGAAGGAGTATTCTCCTGGCATTCCTGGGCTGGAAGCATGGTACATTTGGGGTCAGCTTGATCTTCTAAAGCTCCCTGACTTCCTAAACTTTAGATCAGCACTGAGGGCTGCACTCAGGTCTCACCCAATCCACGGACACTCTCTGTTATGTTTTTCAAGGAGACCAGAGATTAGCAAACTGCATCAGCAGCCCAGGCATATTTGTAGCCACCATCCTTCTGTTAGAGAAGAAGTTATGGCAAAAACCGTGTGGCTGAGATGAGATCCATATATGCTTGCTCTTCCTCTTTCTTGCAGGTAACAAAATCCCCAAGAACACTGTTCGCATCTTGATTACTTTCATCTGGCTCTACTCCTTGCTCTGGGCCATTCTGCCCTTGGTAGGCTGGGGTTACTACGGCCCTGAGCCATTTGGCATCTCTTGTACAATAGCCTGGAGCAAGTTCCACAACTCCTCCAATGGCTTTTCGTTCATCCTGAGCATGTTCCTCCTGTGCACGGTCCTGCCTGCACTGACCATCGTTGCCTGTTACTTGGGAATCGCCTGGAAGGTTCATAAAGCATACCAAGAGATCCAGAATATTGACAGGATCCCTAACGCAGCTAAACTGGAGAAGAAGCTGACATTGGTGAGTTATCCCAGCGATGAGAAGAGTCTGCAGTAATCAGGAGCTTGCAGAGAACTGGCTCTGCTCATGCATGGCTCATGATGACCCTTCATTGCTTTTGTCTAATATTGACCAAAGATGGAGATGTGGTTTGAGTCTCACCTACGCTCTGCCCTCCTCAGAGGAGCAGGGGGCTCCTGGAATATTTGTCATTTCAGTAGCTTGATCAGGATAATATATCGTAGGTACAATGCAGCTTGTTAAATCTTTAGGCAGTTGCATCCCAGATTTTCATGGACTTACAGATTTCCAGTCATGCTGGCATAGCTGTTGAATCCTTTCATGTTGTAGCTGGGGTGGAGGTCTTGCTCTGTCATCCTAGGTATTTTTAATTGACTGAGTGGCTAGTCTGAGTGAGAGCTACACAGAAATTCTGTATGGAAACAGGATTTTTTAATTTAACCTTTTTTCAAATAAGCACTTCAGTTGCTCATTTCTTGTGGAAAAGCAGAACTGACCCAAGCTTTCTAGAAGCCAGTGTACTGATAGGCTATACTGTCTGGTTGGGCTGTGTCTCCCATGGGATATCGCAGCCAGAGTCAGGGAAGGAGATGAAAACAACTGCCTTAAAGAAACCCACAGTGTAGATCTGCTAGGGGGGAATAACAGCATATATGCACTGTCCAGTGTTACCGTGCTCATGTCACAACATAGCAAGCGTACAGTTTCGGGTATTTCAGCTGGTTCAGGTGTGGTTTCATCCACACACCACGTGCCCGAGTATCAGACGCTGTCAGTGCAAGCTGAGGACTGAAGCCCTGTTTCCCTTTCAGATGGCTGTGCTCATCTCGGTCGGGTTCCTGAGCTCCTGGACACCGTATGCAGCAGCCAGCTTCTGGTCCATATTTAACTCCAGCGATTCCCTACAGCCCATTGCGACGCTGCTGCCCTGTCTGTTTGCCAAATCTTCAACAGCGTATAACCCTTTTGTTTATTATATCTTCAGCAAAACTTTCCGTCGTGAAATTAAACAGTTGCAGTGTTGCTGTGGCTGGCGAGTTCACTTCTTCAGCACCGACAACTCTGCTGAAAATCCTGTGTCGATGATGTGGAGTGGGAGAGACAACGTACGTCTCTCTTCAGCTGCAAAGGTGGAGAACCAGGGAGCTGCAACTCGCTGAAATGCAGCGATGGTTTCACAACATAGGTTGAGACTTGGGCTCGCTCATGGGTCCAAATGAGTAGGAATGCAGCACGCGGGGTTGTCCCTGCATATCTTATGTCAAATACAGAGGTTTAAGTATATATTTTTAAGCAACTCTCAAATATTGTCTTTAAGCTACACAGCAAAAAAACCCGCTTTTTTTCAAGAATTTCCACTTTAGAGGAAATAGATTTATGTACTAAACATAAACCCATGTAAACTAAACTTATTTTCAGGGAAACAGCTATAATTAAAAGAGGATGTATTATTTCTGGTTTTTTTCTTACACTTTTGACTTTTTAATGCAATCTATCTGCAGACTCTTGGCTCTATCAGTAAAACAGCCATCAGACAAAACCGTAGGTTGAACACAAAGTGTTAGCAAATAAATACAGCTGAAAGTGTAGCTTTCCAGCTAGAAGACAGACAGAAGACCATATGGGTAGCAAGAAATATTCACTGCCAGGAAAAGAGGATCAAGTGGTTGCTAGCAAAATGTCTTATAGAGATCTACAGTTCCTTGATCTGTCAGGGGTATAGTTCCAAATCCTGAAAACACGAGCTCGAAAAGGAGTCGAGCAGCCTTAGTCTGAAGAGGTTGGGTGGGAATGTGGCAGTCAGCGAAGGATGCCTTCTGTGAATCACAGATCGCACAATGAGCAGTGAAGGAATCTCTTAGCAAAAGGAACTGTGCACTTAACGCTGCTGCTTGCTGAGGTTAACAGCTCTTCTGCCATGAAAGCTGTTGGAGCATTTGCTTTCTGGAGGAGCACTCTGTATAGCACGCCAAAAGACATCCCCGGGATAACCTGCCCGGCAGTAAGTAATCCTGCAGATGCAGTCCTGGCTCTCATTGCTTCACTGGGAGCTCCTCAAATACGGAATTCCCCCTCCCGCTGGAGCACTGACACAACTGCCCCTGAGAGCAGAGCCTGCTGATTCAGTTTAAAGCATACGTACAACCGTGACATCATCCTGCTAGCCAGTTTTAACAAAAGAGATTCTGAGGTGGAAATGAGCTCCTACAGTTTAAATCTCTCTCTGACTTACAGTTTGTGATTTTAAAGGACATAAACACATCTTTAGGGTTTGAAATGTACGAAGTATGGCTTGATAGCTGCAGCAGTTCTCGCTTCCCTTGCTTGTTCAGCTGACCACATCTATCTTTGCATTAGGTTCGGTGAAGACAAGAAGAGTTAAATCACAGGCAGATTTGGCACAGATTTTAAACAACAATCTAAACCAATAGTGAATGGCCTTTGAGTTCTTGAAAACTTCTACCATACTCAAACCCTAATAATTAGTTTCATTTTATAAACTATGGCTAAGGCCAAGACAGGGTTAAAAGATAGGCTTAAACACTTCCATGGCTATCAGAATTTCTGTTACTGTGGAGTGTGGATTACAAAAGAACAAACAGAATGAGACATGAGCTGTAACATATACTAAGGCACAAATTAATTACTAAGTCAGGTGTTAGGAAACTTTAAGGAGCTTGTCTTCCGCTGAACTCCTGCCACTGGCAGTGTTGCCAACTCTCAATAAATATTCCACTAGATTAAACTAGGTTTATTTGTAAAAAATTGTAAAAATTTCCTAATTTAAGTTGGCCTCCAGGGTGACATTATCTTGTCCTGGGTTGTCACTCACAGACGCTCCCTAAGGAATGAGACAGGGTTCAGTCTTCTCTCCCAAATACGATGAGGTGAAGCACCCCCTGGGAAACAGTCACCTCCGACAGCCCATGGCACAGGGAAACGGGAAAAGGGAAGAGAAGTGGGGGGAGCAGGAGAAAACACCTGTTACTGAGAGGGGAGCATGTGAAAGCTAAAGGAAAATATTTGGGAAGAGGCAGGAGAGCGTTAGGCAAGTGTGTTTGTGGGGAGAGCAAGGAGATGGCAGAGGGAAATGCAAAAGGGACAATAGTTAACATGGTGGAAAGGGATTTGTTTTGGTAAATGTCAATTATCAGCACTTTTTCAGCTTTAAAAAATAACCTGAAAGGAAAATGAAACTGTATTTTAATAACCACCTCAGAGTTTTTGCTTTTACTTGCTCAGTTGCTTGATGTTTGAAATAAACAGCAAAATATATATTCCCATCTGCTAATTGCAGATTTGTGAATGGACCAATGACACGCACATCAATAATGTAATGTAAAATGAGCTGCTTCTGTGAAAAATTTAGGAGCAGAACAGGTCCACATCCACTTGTAAAAGCTTTTAAAATGTATGTAATATGAAAAATATGCCACTCTACAATACAGACAAAATCTCTGTAAAACCAGAAGATCCGTATATTGTTAATGTTTGAGCATAATGCTTTAATAGCCTGATTTATTACCTGTTTATGTACTTCATTTTTAAAAATCAAAGTCCAGGTGTTTGTGTATCAAATATGGCTCAAATCTCTTTTTCATTTTTCAGACTCAGTGAGAAACAAATCAAAACTTCCCCATTTAGATGGTTTTATGTTACATACAGAAAACTTAAAAAGCAGGGCTGCCTTTGACCAGAGAACTAGGAAAGGAAGTATAGCTTACTATATAGGGGACTAGTTGTCTTAAGTTTCATGAAGTTGATTTATGGTCAAATTATAACTCTAATTTCATGGTGTTCCCTGCCCAGCCCTAGACTGTGTTGTCAACTAAGTGATCTTCTAAGGCATTGAAGCAGAATGCAAGCACTCACCTCAGGAGCAAATCTGGGCATCTTATGTTTGCAATCACCAGTGCAGTCATCCCAATACAAACAAATATTTAAGGTAAAAACTCCAAGAGCATCTAACTCATAGCTCACATACTAGGAGTTATCTCACTAAACTGGGGAAGTTCACAGTGCAGACATCCACATCTGAGCGAGCCGCCTTCATCTCCTTTCTTTTTATTGAGGATAAATGGAGCTCCCTACTCAGATGATGACATATAAAGTTAAATAACACAACTAACACTCTGATTTGCATTAAAATAAATTGGAATTCAGTGCCTTACTTTGAAAAACCCTTCTAGGCAGTCTCTGTCTATCTAGGCATAGGAATAACTTAAAGAACTAGATCACTTCTGTTAAGGGTTGATTTTCCCATCCGTAAAATTAAATGCGACTCACTTCAGAACAAAGATCAATTATTTGAGGGAGGTCATTGTTCTAGCAGTTAAAGCATGAGGCTAACACTGCGGAGTCTTGGGTTCCTCCCTGTTACTTTGCCAGTAACACTGTGCAACTTTGGGGAAATCACGTAAACTTTGTCTTGGGTTCTTTTAGCCCCACAGTAGACACGGTCTTGCCGTTCATCATTGTAAAGCACCAACTGTTTGATGAACAGCTTAATACAAGTGCAAAGACACCAATCCTGAAGGCTGTGAAACACTAAGAATGAAAAATGGATTGCCACTCCCCTACCGATATCTGTCCTCTGTAGGATCCATCTACCATGCTCAAGAGGTTACTTCACGATTTGTTTCACAGCTAAGGCACTGGCCTGGGACTTGGTGCCATGCTCAAGTTCCTGCTTTATCAAAGCTTCTTTCATGACAGAGAATGCATTGCAGTAAGTCAATTCCTGTGTGTAACTTAGGATCTCCACATCTCCAGCCCTTTGTCCTACCTATATTTCTTACATCTTTGCAAAACAGGAACTGCCTTACAGATAAAAAAAAAAAATCTACTATTTTGGAACTTCCCAAGGGAAATTACTTAGCCTGCAGTAACCTGCTGCTACCATGCTCATTCCTATTGGAAAGATCTGAGTGCCTAGTCCCACAGTTTATAGTTATCATTTTGTCCTGCAATATGCCAAAAGTACTCATATTGAAACAAAAGGTTTCAATATATTTGCAGAGTATCTACTTGTTTTTGCAGTAACCCAAATTCTCACTAGCCTGTACAGCAGTGCAGATTTCAAGCAGCCACGTTGATGAGGAGTGTGTGCAGCATCCAAGATTTTAACTGGTAACCATTCACCATTATCAATGAGGGCTGACAATCTGACATCAACTTGTCAGTACGCACTACGTTCATTGCTATGCTGCTCCAGCAGCACAGAACATATGGGGAAAGCATGTTCCATCTTAGCTTGTCATCCCATAAGGAATCTCTACTTAGGCAGTGAACCGATGACTCGCTTGAAGGAAAAGTCTGTTCACTTGAATATTTTTTTTTCCTTAAAGGGCCTAATACAAACACTGTGTGCCAGATAGGAAAACTATTCTTACCCTAGACTCACCATTTTATTTTCCAGCCTTGGTACGACAAGAGAGAATCAATGTACATTAGTCAGTCCCAGCCTAGAGCTTTAAAGGGCCCTCCTGCAAGCACTGAAGGCCTGGAGTGATTCCAACTGAAGTTGGTGGGGATTTTTTTATTGAATTCAAGGGAACAAGATGCAGATTTTAAAGATCATTAGAGTTAAAAAAAAGCAGAATCTGTAAGGCAAACACAGGTAGATGACATATTATTATCAAAGAGCAGAGAAACCACAGACAGAAAGAAATGAATGAAATGATTGTCATTACAAAGTTTAGAGGTCACTGACACTTTGACTATGTATTTTTCCAGTCGTCAAGAAGGCTTGTGAAAAGACATAATTGTTGTCACTTTCCATATATCCTGGTTTGAACCATACCAATATTTCTTGGAGGGAATTAGATACTTATAAATAGTTGAGGATAAATGCCCAAGGAGTTCTCAAGGCAAAGGTCTGGTTTGGGATCAATAATTTAAACCTTAATTAGAAAGACAGAGAGAAGAAAACAGCAAGGCACTCAACCTTCTTGTTTCTGAGCAGTGAGACTACTGGCAAGTGCCCGATTAAACAAGCTTACTTTAAGTAAAGATCTGTTCAACTGCAATCTTTGAAGTGAGGATACCATGCTATTAATTGGATCTGCAATTTCTAGCCAACTGCATCAATCTCATTTTGAATAACGTATGATGGTGCTAAACATTGTAGAAGTGTGCTACAGCCTCTTCCACCATAAGGCAGATACAAGCATTATCCCAGGGAGGCTGCAGTCTCATAAAATGATGGGATGCAATGAGCAACAAGGCAAAATGAAGTAAAGCGGGACAGGGCCATAATGCCAGGAACTGCCCGTCAAAAGACTCTCACACCCCATTTGCCTCGTATGGATTCCACAAAGGAATTCTCACATGTATAAAGCAAATTCCTTCTGGAGGGGAGACAAAAATGGTAAGAATTTAGGATCAATTTACCTCAAGAAAGTCCAACTGCTAAATAGACAGGGATAGCAAGAACAATACGGGACAAAAATACAGAACTAAGTAAGGGAGAATGAGCACTGAAATGAACTTCATTTGAGAAATAATGAAGTACTGGGGAAGGGCAGTGATGCAGACAGAGCTGAAGTGCACAGCTGCTCCTATACGGGTTACTGCCAACTACTGGATTTGTATCTTATTAAACAAACCATGAACTCTGAAAAATTACGATTTATCTACTTATACGTTTCTAAAGAGAGTTAAGTCAGATTAACATCAAAGTGCTGCTGGATTCAATCACAGCTCTGCTGAACTTTAGTGATTTTGCCTGAAGACTTCTAGGTCTACAATGCCTGCCAAAAAATTCAAAAGAAATTCCCTGCATGCAAAAGAGATCAACCAAAGAGCTGGAATGGATATTTTATTTATCAGTATATCTGGAAAAAAAAACCAAACCCACCTACTCAATTCCCTTCATTCCCTGAAGTCATAGTTCTAGAGATAAAATTTTCTTGTGGGTACATATATAAATAATCCTCAAATAGAACAAGCAGAGAATTTACAACTTTCTTAGAAAGCACAAAACACCAGGCCGTGGGGCAGTGGAACCAAAGGTATGTAGCTGGCCATCCCTTGCTGATGATTACATTCTGTAAGCGATTAGTATAAGGCTGGTTGCATTGTGTGACATTTCAGCATTACATAGACTGCTGCCTCTTCTCCAGGCACTTCTCAATATCATCCAACACCTGGACTGCTGCTTTTGGAATACGAGTCCCTGGACCAAACACACTGGTAATGCCAGCTTCATACAGGAAGTCGTAATCCTGTTCAGAAAGAAATTTAAGATCCATAATTAACAGTGCAACAGAAAATTGATAATTGATTTATAATTGGTATATGCTCTATCCTGTATGCTGGGCCTGAGAAAGCATATGCAACAAGTCTCAGAGAGAGGCAGCATAGCATCAAAGGAAATGGGAGAAATATGGTAGTTCGAAGGTAAAAAGGAAATATTTTAAAAAATCCACAGGAAAGGTTTTATTTGTTTAGAATCAGAGGAATGTCAGATCCTTGGAAAATATTCAAAAGTCAACTGGACATGACCCTGAATAACCTAATCTAAATTTGAACTAACTTCTAATTTTGCAAATACTGCTTTAAACTAGGGCTTGGACCAGGTAACTGCCAGTGGTCTCTTGCAATCTAAGTTAGTCTAATTTTATGATTGTCCTGAAATTTCAGAAACACCTGGGAAGCAGTTTTGTAGTCTCTCTTACTTCTGTATAGGATATATTATACCTTTACCATCCACAAGCTAGTAGCATCCCATTGAGAGACTGGACAGAACATAGTTTGCCTCCTAGAAAAATACTACTGAGTTTTGTTTATTTGATTTGAAAGTCTGTCATTCCTGAACACTTACCTAATTGGCTAGAAAAGGAAGAAGTCTGGGAAAAGGGAGAACAGGAGATTTATATGCAAAATCAATTTGAATCTCTCTAGACAGAAGACGACCCTAAAGGTGATACAGCAGGGAAAACCATGGATAAGGAAAATTTTAAAACAAAAGCACAGATCTGACTGCATGGGAATCCAACAACTGTTCAACAGTTTAGGAGAAAGCAGAGGGAATGAGAGGCAACACTGAGGCCTGATGAAGGGGAACATGAGGAGAGGCTAAACAGCGAATGAGATGTGTAGCCTATAGTTGTTAGGACCTGCCAGGTGTCTTAGTCACTTGCTGTGCCTCTTCTGAACTGTTACTGGAAGTCATAAAGTCTCTTAAGACAGGAGCTAGCCTTTATCAGTAATACGCAAGGTACTGGTAATCGGAAACAACAGAGCATAAGGAACATCTCCCTGAGGCTAATCTTTTCATAACACAACTTAATATTCCATCCAACAAACAGTGTAAGTTAAACCAGGACATGGTGTACAGAAAACCAGATCAATGAGACCTGACAGCACTCCGCAACCACCTTACAGATCTGTGTTGACCCTGGTGATTGTACGCAGTAGCCTTCAGCGCTGTAAATCACCTCTGACATTAACAGAATATAGGAAATAGCTAAAAACAGCACAGACAGAAATAAAGCAGTCTCCTAGTCTGGATGGAAATGATGTTGACCCATACCTGAGGTGGGATGACACCTCCACATATGACGAGAATGTCTGGCCGGCCAAGGGCGTTGAGTTCTTTGATGAGCTCAGGCACAAGAGTTTTATGACCTGCTGCAAGTGTGCTCACACCAACACAGTGCACATCTGCATCAACCGCCTGCTGGGCCACTTCTCGAGGTGTCTGTATAGAAAGAGGATTATGTGAGAAGTTATAGCCCCAGCCAGGCTGCTGAACAAGCATTAGAGGGAAAATTGGTGCATTTGAAATACATTGGATACTGCTCAATCAGTCATACCTGGAAGAGGGGACCTATGTCCACGTCAAAGCCAATGTCTGCAAATCCTGTAGCAATAACTTTAGCTCCTCTGTCATGACCATCTTGACCCATCTTTGCAACGAGTATACGAGGCCTGCGCCCCTCACGATCCATGAACTTGTTAACTCTGATTGAAAACACATAATGTATCACTGTAAGTCACTGAGAATCATTAGAAGTATTTCCACAAATAAAAAAAAGCACTGGCTGGCTGCAACTGTATCATCATTTCTGTACATCAAATAAAAAGATCTTCTAAGTCATAGTTTGTGTAGTCCGCATACTATGTTAATATTCACATTATATGATTACTAACTGATTTCTTGTATTTACTAGCCTCAACAATAAAACATTCTTTTTTACAGATAACCACTCCAATACTTTTCTGCTTTCTAACGGACAAAATACTGAATTCTTTGAGGGCTTAATGAGCTGAATTACAACTAACTAAAACACAATTTTTAGATTTTAAGAATAATGTGACCAACTATTTCAAAAGTACTTGCATGGCACACAGGCTATAGAGATGGGTCCTAGACATCATACTGTGCATCATCATCATTCAACTGGGAACAAGTCTGTCCAGAAAATGATTACTGTATCCCCCATTCTGTGCACTCATTCCAGTGCCTCCCTTTTTCTGGTTAGTGGCAGTTCATATTTCTGTTGTATTAAAGTGACTGTGTAACCACAGCCTCAGATATTAATCTTTCATCTTACTGCTCACTTTCCATGTACCACCAGTATCTGTCTTTGACTGGGACACTAAGATTACCACTTCTCAGAAATAAAAGTTTGGGGGTTTGGTTTTTTTTTGGGGGGGAGGGGGTTGGGTGTTTTTTTTTTTTTAATGTTGTATTGTTCTGAGCATTCTGCCAATGATGGAGTCGTATGGATTTGATGCACCTTGAAACCATATGCTGACCTGGCTGGGATGATCACGCTATGACTCCAGTGGCTTAGTTTGGGGAAAAGAATACTCTAGATAAAGCATTTATCAGCACAGAATTGAACAGCCTCAGGAGATGATTCCAGGACAGGAATATGCATTATGTAAGAGTGGAAAAAATAAGAACTCTGACAGCTTAAAAAGGAATTATGTCAAGACAGCCTGAAGAAGCAGACTGACAAAGCTTCTGCTTGAGGATGTATAGGAGTTGGGCCTGCCTTCTCTATTCCTAAGGACTGCTGAGAATATCAATGAACTAAGTACCTGAATTGATTTGTGATATCTTTAAATCCTTTTCTCTGTATTGTTTTTTGTTTCCAAATGTTTGTTTTCTTACTTCCCCACCCACAGGCTCCCTCCTAACAAGGACAGCTCTAGGTGCTCCAAGCCTGCCAGGCTAAAACCACCTGAGTCACTGCAACCCAGGGCTTGGTTTAAGTGTGGGGCAAGTGAGAAATCACACTTTGGAGAGCCTATGCAAAGGTGACACGTAGTCAATCCAGTTTTGTTACCATGTTTACTAACTGGGTACATATGACCTTGGACATAAAGGCAGGTATGTAAGAAAGGGAGCTACATCTTGATTCTCAAGGCATCAGTTCCTTTTCATGTAAATGCATAATTACAAATACTTAAACTTAAAATAAATATTTAAAATAAAAAATGATGGTGACATCCCCCAGCACAACTACTTTCAAGTCAGGCTAAACATCACTATTGTGAAGACATCAAGTAATTCCCTTTTAAGAGATTCTGTAACTCTTTAATGTTTAAGGTCCAACACAGCAGGGACTTATGAGCATCAATTAATATTACATCACCGCCCACTATAGCAATTCAGTCTCTTTACCCAAGAGGACACCAGCAAAGGCAGAAGCTGACAAAAGGCACAAATGGGCACTGTTTTCACACATACTACCATCTTCTGATGTTTTCTCCCTTGTGATATGAGTAACACCTGTAGACTGGAAGTTGTGTGTGGAAATCCAGACAGATTTTAGCCTTACAATTTTAGGAACAGTAAGAATGAAGTTGCAAGGGCACCTTATGGGCTGACCAAGACCAGGTTTTGCAAATATGAATTGCTAGAAATATTTGTAGAGATTACTATTACAGAGTCTTCAAAAGAAGCAATCCAATGTATAGGGACTTCAGGCAATGTTTCTCAGCTTCTTAATCCTATGGCTGCCTAGTCGATTTGAACAAAATCCTCAAATCATAATATCACCTCAGTGGATTTTGTCTGCAAGCAAATATGAGTTCTATTAAGTTTCAACCATTCTCTTATTGCACCTATTTCTTCTCATTCTGCTTACTTGCTTACAGGCATGAGAATGACTGTGCAGGTCTTTGTTTTGTTCTGGAAATGACATTCAGGTTTGGGGAACACTTTTTTAGGGCACAGCGAGTAGCACATATATTTAATGGATTAAATGTGAGGCTGCGTTTGGCTTCCTGGGAAGCTATTCTCACCTATTGATGGCATGAAGAATTTCATCACTCTCTCCAAACTCCTGGCGATAAGCTCCGCTCACCATTCGGTCACTGGCTTTATGCTCCCCAAACACCTTCTTCATTGCATCTGTTATTTCTCCAACGGTGCATCTAAGATACAGAAACAAAGTATTAGTGCTATCAGGAGGCTTATACGAGAACAGAATACAGAAATCACTGGCAGAGGCCCAACTATCTGCCTCGCTGCAGGACAAATTCAATTACACTTGTTTCCCCTTTGGTGCTACAACTCTGAACATCTGACTCACCCCACTGTCATCCACTAATAAAATGTGCAGAAGTGTTTTTAAGAAAATACTGTTTTGCTGATGTGAGAAGCGATTTTACAAGTGACAAGGCAATAGGGACCATTGCATGACAAAATATTTCAGGAAATTAAATCAAATTTTCTCAACTGGGAATTTTTTTGGGCTCAGACTGCAAGATCTTGCATTTGTACTCATACTAAAATTCAAAATATAAATCAAGAGAAAAAAAAAAAGGAAGAACACACAGAAAAGACTGAAGCCTAACTTTTTAACTGGAATTTGTTTGCCTTTCCCTTGATGTTTATATTTTAGTATTTCTTCTTCTCTACTCCTCACATAGCTCCTTTATCCACTGAGATGCAGAAGAATCTGGGAAATCCATCTACATGCAAGTTACAAGCGTTGTTTGCTACTAGAGACACTGTGCATGTTAGAAATAATACACATTTTACTGCTGTAGCACAAGTGCTAGAAGCCAAGTAGGCTGTGCTGTCGTCTTGTACAAACATCGGAAATAACAGCCTCTGTCCCAAAGCATTTAAAAATCTCATGCTTAATGGATTCTACCTTTTTGTGTAAAATCTATAATGCAGACTGTAACAAAAAAGACAAGAGCAGTTCAGCTAGTAGCTCCATCACAGCAAGCTTCTTACTTCTGGTATGAAATTACCTGGGAGTCAGTACTGCGTAATGATTTTGAAGGTATGCTACTGAGCTCTTGATGAAATCTTTCATCAAAAATATTTTGATGAATATATTTTAGCTTATACTTGAACAGAAAAAGACTAAACAACCTGTGTATATTAAGGAATGAATACAACTTGCTGCAAACTTCGTCAAAGGAAAGAAAGAAAAAATACTACTCTTACAAAACAGTTTAAAAGCATGCTTACAAATATAGAGACCAAACCCCATCCATTCAGCTACTGCTAAGCATGTTACAAACCCCTGCAAATCCACATTTTCTCCTGTCATATTGCATTTAATTATAACCTACTCTGAGGCAGTATTAGGTTAAGCATCCTCTACAGCTTTTATATAAAATGCTCGAAGGATGTTTGGACAAGATGCAACTTCTTGTCTACATACTTTTGGAAGGGAATAGCCAAATTAACTGTACTCAGTTTTCCTTCTGCTGTTTGCAGTTTCAGTAGCTATTATCTGATTCCTACTTTGTGCAATCTGCCATGCATCCAGTGTAGCAGAAGATGGATTTCTGCTGTATTAACTGAATCCTTCAGTAAATTTGAAAGACATCTTACTTCCTGTGACCCCCCTAGCTTTTGCTACTCATGTTTTTTATACTCAGCAAACTTAACCACAGTTATAAACTGTAACTACACTAATGTAAAATGGCAGAAATCCCATCTTGAACATATAGGCAAGATCTGTATAATGCATATGCCTGAAGCTGGCCTCTTATCTCTAGGTATCACTGTTCACGGTTGGCCTGCTTTGTCTAGAAGACAGTATCATGCTGGAACACACATTTTTAACTCATGTTGTTGACACAGTCTTGACCACTTTTTGCCAACTCCCCTCCCCCTGGCTTTCTGGAATTATATTTGTAAAGTTCTTTGCTTTTATCCGTTTTCTTGCTTAGCGCACTAAGGACTTCATATTTGGAATCATGAGGATCATAGTCTAGAAAAGCAGCTAATACAAACTAATACCAAATTTATGGCTATGTGTGAATACAACTTAGTCTTTGAATTTATTTATTAATAATGATTTAAAAAGCATTAGTTATAAAGCAACCTGTTCACGATTGCATCAGAACCCATTGACAACACATGTAATACGCTTCATTTTCACAGCATCTGTAGCATCTCAGAAAGCTTAGCAAGCACTACCTGAGTTACAATAGTTCTCAGACCTTACTCACTTATATCATTAGTTTTTGTTTTTCAGGACATCTAAATAATCTTATTAATATTACTGCTCTCTGATATTAATAACAAAAAATTGAAAAGTAAACTGCATAAGTGCTAGATTAAGTGACTTCCTCAAGGTTAAAAAGCAAGTTTGCAGCAGACTTAAAAATATTATCTAGAAATACGGACTCCCTCTCAGAGTGCCAGACATCACAGATTGCAGCTTGATATAGATACAACCCATGCATAAACATTGATGACTTACTCCTGTGTAAACACTGGCAGTTTAGTGAAGGCTTACAGTGACATAACACGTGTCTTTTCTTCTAGAGAAAACTGTAAGCTTAGATAAATCTTTCTCTTCCTTCTCTTTTGCAGAAGCAGCATCTGAGTATAATGTCAGTATTAAAGCACAGCACATGTAGATATAGTTGTGCTGTGCTTTTCTGTTCTTCCTATGTAAAAGTTTCATGTAACAAGTGAAAAATAAATGGCTTGGACTATCAATTTTATTGAAGTATAATCTGGTGGCTAGGATAAAGGGGTTTTGTGTACTGCACAAAAATGAAATAAATTTCTTTCGTCTGTAAATACTGCTTCTGAAATCCCTTTAGAATATTTTGAAAATTCTGCCCCAAGTCTCTGCAGTGCTTTAAATCTAAGTAATAATAGGAGTTTTGCTTTTAAACTACTCATGAATGCTTTCCTACTATTTACCAATAAACAATTTTTTCAAATCTCTGCTTAGTTCTTAGTCCTGCTGCATCAGTGGCTGCCATCTATGCATCCACAGTGGAATAGCTCTGTCTGGAGCCAGGAATACAGCCTCTTTCCTTAACAGGAGAGGAAAAGCATACTTTTAATGACAATTATGCTTTCCTTTAATCAGCTAGCCGTTACACTGGACGGGTTCTTTATAATCTGGATGTATAAAATCCCTCCCATTTCTGTTTATCTTTACAGCAAAGTTTTGTCCTGGAGACAACTGTTTTCATCTCACTATTATAAAACTTAAGTAGCATAAGCAACAATTATTACTATTAATTTACAGTTTTTTCAATGCATGCTGATAAAAACCTACTAGACAATTATGCAAAATTGATGGAACAGAAGTCACTTTGCCTTCATTGTATACATTTGTGTTTCCTTCATATGACTGTCATTCACATTTGCCTTGTGCGGAACTGCGTGTTAAAATTTTGAAGTGGAGACCAAAAGATAGCTATATTCCCCGTTTTGTGTTTTATTAGCCTATAGCCCTTACGATGTGTCTTGTGGCAAGGACAGCATGTTTGTACATAAACTGTAGCCTGCATCCTATGAACTTCTGCACTGCTCAGAATTACTGTTGACCAACTGTGCTATAGCAGAGCCCTCAACTGTTCCGAGATTCCCTGAGCTTCCTCAAAAGCAGGGGGTTTCCAAATAAGAGGAGCTTGGCTCTTTGCTAAGATTTTGGGCAACTGAACGAGGTCAATGGGATGAAATACATCCACAACTGTGATGGCCACAGAGGATATTGTTCAATTCAGTGTGTTCTGTCAGGCACAGGATCTATCTCCTTTAGCAATTTGTGCTGTGACTCTCTCCCACTGGTTCACAACCAGCTCTAGAGGCTATGCTGCACAAATACGAATTTGAAGAAAGAAAGTCAATGACCATAATGTGCCTGTTAGGACTGTCACCTTCTGTCTGTTCAGTCTCACACCACTGCCACTGCCTCACTGCATTTCACCAGTAATGAGAGGTAGCACTGTGTCATCAGGTGACAAAGTACCATGAAGACACAGACCAGGCAGACAAAGAAGCAGCACTACATGCTACATTACACTTCATGACTTCCTCTTCCACCACCGATGGCTGGCCCTGCAGCAAATGCAAGTCTGGAGAGGGACAGAAAAACAGCACCGCAGATGAAAGAGATGAGAAAGAACTCAGCATGATCTGTCTCATAGCTCTACCTAAGTACACCCATTTTCCTGTGATGTGGCTTCTCATGAGAAATGAGGCACAGAAGGGAAGCAATACTCCTCCCTATTCCCTACCACCTTTGGCCTGCCTTATTACTTTGGTTACAATAATAAAATGACTTTTCTACTTCTGCTTGTCAGCACTGAAATCTCTGTATTAGTCCATGGAGTCTTTTCCATAGTTCAATGCTGAAAATTCTGTGCCACTCCTTTTATTTCAATTGAATTACATTACTTGTCTTCATGATCAAACTCCATCATTTTCCATTCAAGAGGAGACAGGCATCTGTCACTAATATGCTGGTCATACTGGCCTACTTGTCTACTATTTGTGAAGGATGAATGTGCTTACTTGAAAAATCTTTTCCCATGTTACCCCTAACAGAAGGGCTCCCCAGAAATGTTCACAGAGCTCACAATCCTCCTTCAAACACTCTTTATCAGATGCCGTGACAACTTCTTTCTGTGGCCACATCCCATATATAGTTTTGGGGCAGAGTTAAGTTTTGTGTTTGCAAATTACAAAATGGATCTGCAGTCCATTTTATTATTTTACAAATAATAAAAACAAGGTCGCCAAGGAGAGAAATTAGCAGTTAACTGGTCAATTTCGGTACAGAAGATATGAATCCCTGGTAAATCTAACCCTCTAACCTAACCTAAAATCTAACTCTAATCCGTCTAAATCTAACCTAAAGGTCTACCCTCCTGTGACCTTTACAGTTCAAAGACATGCTGCTAGCAGAATTGTGACAAGCTCTCTGCGGGAGAAGATGTGCCCAAAATTTGGCTGTTAAGTGTCCAAGGAAAGGGAAAGAAGGAATTTAAGATATCACAGTAAAAATAGGACAGTGCCCCAATAAGGGCTGAATTTGGTTTGATCATTTCTGGGGCATTTAGTTAATTAAGGAACAGACAGATGTGATTTATTCTAGAGACTGACACTTACTTTGAAGCAGGAATAAAACAGTCTTAAAAACACCCTAGGTGAAAAAAGTAAATGTTCCACTGGACTCTAAAGGATGCCTCACTGCTCTACTGAAGGGCATCTTTTATTCTTTGCCTGGGTAAGTAAACTTGTTTCTCTTTCAATCAAAAAATGTTTTCACACCAATCTGTGGTGCAAGGAAGGATGAAGCAACAGACCATAAGAAGACTGTGAATATCCATTTTCACATCTCAGACACTTCTTAAGCTCCCTGACCTATGAATAAGCAGGGTGACAGAGAAACCTAGTTACGTCCTGAAACTGGTAAGTCTGAGTTGTAAACAACACAATGTGCACGAACAACATAATTTCATACGAGATTCTTTGTATCCATATTCTTTGTGAGAAATTAAAGCATAGCCTTAAGAGACTGTAAAATGTAATAGCCTATCTTACAATGCCAAACTACAGCCATCTTTTACTTCCACCTTGGAAAAAAAGGCCCAAAACATCTCAAGACACCAACCTCACTGACGCCATACTCAAGATCAGTTGAAAGATAAAAATGAACCATTGATTTTTAGACAGCAGTTGGATATTCACCCCTAACCCCATACCTTGAACGTGCTGCTTCCACTGCAAGTGCAAGTAAGTTGCCTTCCCCAGTAGCAGCACACTGCGTTAGAGCAGCGAGACATTGCTGGGCTGCTGCTTGATCTCTACTAGCCTTCACCTAAAGTGGAGGAGAAAAATACTAAATTCAAACAAACTACAAGGTAAACTGGGAAGTCGAGTGTGTAAGACTTTCTGATTTCAAATATTACTTTTGGAGGCATGGAATTATCAATTGTCAATATATGCTATATACATCAAAAAGATTAGAAAAGGTGCTTCAGACCTTAAAACGTGTACAAATCCATTAAATAACTCTTAAACCATTCTATCTACATTTCTACTAATTATAAAAGTGGATGTTGATTGCTGGTTCCATAACCCTGTCCCTTAATAGCACTTGACAAGCTGCACCAGAGTCTGAGTGATTAAGTAATGCTACATACTTTTAGAGTAAAACACCGCACAGCTATTTTCTATCTTATTTTCAGAAAACGTAAAGTTCTCAGTTTTGAAAGGTCAGACGTATTCACAAGACTATCCAAAATACAATGACTAAACCCAAATGAATGTAACAAAAACATTTTTGTTTGGATTCTAATACTGTTTCTTGAGATTTTCCATCAGCTTGCACTGAAGTAGAACAGAAATCCAGCTGCTTAAAGACTAGAGCAGATTCTCAGAAATTTGAGGGTCAAGTTTCTGGAAAGCCACCTTTCCTTAGTATTACTCAAGTTCTATTTGCAATTACAAGAACTTTCATTTTTAAGAAGGTAGTTCCCACCTTATTGATCTTCTCGATCTGCTTGCTACGGACTGAGGTATTATCAATAGCCAGAACTTCGACTGTCTCCTCTTTTTCCAGCTGATGCTTGTTTACTCCAACAATTACTTCAGACCCTATTTCCAGTGGAAACACCAGAAACTCAGAATACATTTGCAAACTACTGTGAAAAGACACAATATTAATAGGACAAGAAAATTTTGAGCAATATAATGCAGCACTTTTCTTTATAACTGTATATATTTCAAATACTTAAAATTTGTTCTTATAGGAAGGGCTTAAGTCTGTATTTTCCATATTTTATGATGAGACATGATTAGATGCATGAACATTCAACTCAGTGAATACTGGGCCAGAAAAAAGATTTGAAATAGAACAATATTTATCTTACAAACTGATTTAATGACTCACTAATACACATTAGCTATTTTTCTCTTTAAGTTTACATATCTGAATCTTACAGAATTAAGCAGAAGTGCTGGTCTCCTGCACTGCTCTGCATTTACATTTCTGATTCACCAGATAAATAAGAAAGTGAAGTTCCTACCTAAAACTACTCCATATGAATAAAAATTAATTGTTCATGTTGGAAAACTGTATTTTAGCTTTCAGCCAGTATGGACTTGACAACCATTTTTATTTGCAGTGCCTGATAACATTACTACACTCTTCAAAGCAACATTAAGTAATTTACCTTGGGAGAGAAAACACAGAACTTTATTGCTTACTCTTTATTGGTCTTAATTAAAGACCTGCTTCAAATTTATCCTCCAAACAAAAAAGTTCATATAACTTCTTTTATGTTTGAGTTATCCCTAGTTTCTCTTACTGGACTGCTACTGGAATGCAGACTACAAAAAGCAGAATAGAGCTATTAGCACACGTATACACATCTCCACATGTACTTATTATATGTGTACATATGCATATACATATATGTATCTCACAAAGAGCTGCATCATCCTCTAATCTGAGATGACTGCATTTTTTCTGGTCTTCAGGAAAAATGTGCAGCTCCCAAGCAAAAGCAGGAATTTGGCCAGATACATTCAATATTGCCATCTGCTGGCGGTCATGATTTAGGAGTCATGGAAGTTAAGCGATTAACTGTTGAAGACCCAAAATACTCCTTTAAAATAGCCTTTCTAGTGCTTTGTCTATGCTAGTCTTAAATATGTCAAGCAAAACTGTTTTCACACTGGCACTGTATTTCATACATACTGCTATCTCTTTCCAGAAGCTTTCACTGACATAAAACTAAAATATTACCATTTTATCACTCACAATCTGCTACTCCTAAACTAAGAAGGAAAAAAACCAATGAAAATGTGTGTAAAAAACCTTTATGCAAAGGTATTCTATTGGCAGTTTTCCCCTCTTTCATGTCCCTGCTCCCTACCAGAGTCAATCCTGGCTTGTCTTCGGGCTGCACACTCTTCAATACGAAGTTTGGGAATCCCCTCAGCAACAGCTTTGGCCATGCCACCCATTTCTTCAATCTCCTCAATAAGCTGCAAAATGAAAAGGACTGATAAAACGAGTAGTAGCAAGGTTCACAACATGAGCTTTGCACTTGTACTGCCATCCAAATTTTTATTATATCTATATATACAATCCTGTGCTCTAAAAGTGTGTTTCCTATCCCCATGTCTCTGACTACAGGTCTTGGTATAAATTAAGAGACATCTCAAACAAAAGAGCATTTTTATTACCAAAACTCCATTAATTCAATAACAGTGAATGGCATATTGTTCAATCAGTAACACCCATGGACAAAAAGGCTTAAAATTTGAGACCTTGACTCTGCACTGACTTCTGCCTGCCAAGCAGCTCTTACGGTTACATGTATACAAACACAAATAAATTGAAAAAAAGCCAGGGTCAGTTCTCTGATCCTGAAGACAAGTGGCATGGCACGGTTCAGCTCTCACACAGCAGAAGCCTATTCAGCTCCAAAACATGCTGACCACATTCAAACTGCCTACTGAAAATGGCCATCAGACCTTGCCTGGCACTGTCTAGAAGTATCCTAGTTGACAAAGACCTAAACCACATGTCAGACAATGTGCTAACAGTGTCTGCACAGTCCCAGGCTAGTGTTTAGGCTGCATTAGCTTATTGATTTGGGACTTTACATAAGAGCAGTAATTTGCTCAAAAGGAAATTAGGGTTTAGCTGTAGGCTAGACATGTAGGCCTATATCTTTATGCAGGATTGCCACCAGTAAGACTACTCCTGCATAGTACTTTTCACATGCAAGTAATAACTGGCAGCTAAAAACATTATTACAAAAAAATATGCTGATCCAACAGAAAAATTTCTCTTAAATTCTGCATAATATGGGCAGACAATTGTCTGCCTACATGACTGGCTATAAAACTTTGCTTTCAGTAATCCCTAGTTTTAAAGTCTCACGCAGATCACCACAAGCATGAGTAGGCATGTAACTAAGTAGGTTGGTCTGACTCTTTCTTCTGTTGAACGCTTTTTTTTCTTACACATATAACATGAGAACCCAGCAAATTGGGAGTCTTCAGTGTGCAAGGGACTTTGCAGGGCTTGATTATTTGTTCCACTCTGGGATATTTCCCTTTTGAATGTAGTCTACTAGAAGGCTGAAGTCTCTCTTTCTCTAAATATACACTGTATATTCATAAAGTTAATTTACAAAGAAATCACTGAAGCATAAGTGTAAAATAATTCCTTCTTTAGAAGTTACCAACTTATCAAATAGTCCCTTAAAGGACATCTCTCAAAACTCCTATACCTAAAATTTTCCCACACAACATAAAAGGTTGTATAAACTGACCTTTAAAGCAGCTTCATAGACATCGTTGGTGAGACACTCCATGAGGTAAGATCCACCCCAGGGGTCTGCCACTTTAGGAATACCTGACTCCTCCTGAATTATGATCTGCGTGTTCCGAGCAATGCGAGCACTCTTCACGGTAGGCAAACCCAAGGCTTCATCAAATGAATTTGTATGCAAAGACTGTGTACCTCCAAACACCGCAGCCATTGCTTCAATTGTAGTACGGATAACATTGTTAAAGGGATCCTGGAAGGAAAAGGAGAGCTCTGAAGCTCAACAGTTCTGCCACGGGGCTGAGGCAGATTAGTCACACATATATTACCACAATGAAATGAATGCAAGATTCCCCATTGAAACACTGTAATCATAACAAAAGCTGAAAAAGAAAACAGTCAATAATAAACATCCAACCAAACTGATGCATCACTTATCAACATCTCGGACGAAGAGATTAATCCATAAAGAAAGCCAAAATTATCAGTGTATGAGTACACTGGTCATGATAACAAAGCAAAGCCTAACTTATATTTAGTGGTGTTTCAAAGAACATAACGAATCCAAGCTGGAGAGGATGGAACAGGTAGTCCTGATGTCCTCCATTCTCAGATTCCAGAATTCTCAGAGCAGTGAATAGCACATCTGTCAGGTTACTAGTCAAGATCTGTTTTGGAACTAAATGTGCTTAGTATTTTCATTAATGACAGCATTACATAAAGGTAGGAATTACAGTTGAAATTTGCTGGTGCTATAAAATTGGAAGATATCTATGGGAGAACTGGGATATTATCCAAAACAAATGGATAAACTGAAGTACAAGATACAGAAATAGAGTCAGTATTACAGAATATAATCTCAGCCTTTAGGTCAAAATTTTTACCTGCTCTTTTCAGACATCTAGACATTTTAGTTGTATATATGTGCCTTTATAGTCAAAGAGGAGTTATCATGATCTCCAGGGGGTGACTTATCTTCTGAGATGGAGTGAAGAATCACACACTGTGATTATTGAGGAAATTCAACAGTAGCTCAGATTGCATACCTAATTCTTGACTTGCTTAGTTGGGATGAAATGTATCCAAAATAATTAAGAGCTACCAATATAATAGGACCTTGAAGAAGGCAAAGTGAATCATGAGATCTGTGAATTACATTATCTTCCCTAAAGAAGTGGAATTAATATCACTATTTTACAGGGACACGGTAATTCTACCTACACTGGAGTACATTTCTGGTTCAAGTATTCCATTTAAAGAAGTACAGAAAAATGTGATTTGGATGAGCAAGAATGTAAAACCTAATTTATGAGTGAATACCTATCTAAAGGCAGACCAAAGGAAAATATATTTGCCCTCTGAAACCTGTAAGGAGTAAACACTGGGCACTGAAGAGGTATGTTAAGATAAACAACGTTTAGAGAGGAAAAAAGGCTTATGATCCAGCCAGAAATATATTTACACTGGACACGGGAAGACGGTTGAACATATTTTTGGTCATATTAATAATACCATGCTTTTAATACAAACTTTAATTGGTGGACCTGCAAAAACCACTGTTCAGAAAATTCCATTGTTTTAGTTTACTGTGTTCCTGTAACATAAGCAAACTTTATATTCGCTTTGAAAAAAAAGAATAAAACCAAGGCACAGAAGTCAAATAACAATGGCTGCTATCACAACCTAAAAATAACTCATATTGCGTGACTTTGATAGAGAAGCAGGCCTTGGAATAAAAGCTGGAACCCAGCTCTGACCTCACTTGGGTTTAGTTTAGTTCCAATGATTTATTTTCTTGTTGTGATGTAACTCAACAGGAAGAGCTGATAGTGCACCCAAAGAACAGACCAGCTGTAACCATTACTTTACTCTTCAGCAGTGAGAATCAGGGACATGAATGACTGATTTTGCTGCTCAAATGGATTCTCAAGCCAGTGGTCCTGAGAAAAAGGTGCCTCTACTTCCTCATTCAGCTATGTTTTGAAAGGTAACTTATAGGACAAATCCAAGAGAGAGCTTCATCCTCTGAGTCCTGAACTAACATAAGCACCTCTCTGCAATTCTTTCTCTGCTTAGCAGGTTTGCATCCTACTCTCAGTTCAGTATCCACTAGACTGGGAGCACACATGCTTAAGACAATGATTCCAGAATGAAAATGAAGCCAGAGAATGAAAAGTTTGGCACTGAGACTCTGCCTATCACCATACCGGAACCCCTTTTGTAAATACAGTCGCAAGTCTTTAGTTTCTGCCCTTTTACCTGAGCACTACAGGGCAGTCCAGAATACTGAGGTGTTTCATAAACCAGCATTTTGGAAAGAAATGCTGCTGGCACTTAACAAGACTTTTTGTGCTACATAAGCAAAAAGATGTATCCAATGCTAGTATGTGCATTTGTCAGACTGAGAGTAAGACAGATTGTCTCCTTCAGAAAGCTGCACTTTATGCAGCCTCCTTTTAGATATACACCATGAGAAGATATAATGAGGAGGGTGATGAGAGTCCAATTTCTAACCTGCTCAGTGAGCGACCAGCCCGAAGTTTGACAATGCGCTCTCAGCAGAAGAGATTTGGGATCCTTGGGCTTAAACATTTTCTCTACCAAATGAGCCCACAGCCGCCTTCCAGCTCTCAGCTTAGCTATTTCCATATAGAAGTTCATGCCAATTCCCCAAAAGAAGGAGAGCCTGTAATAAGAGCATATGAACAGGATGAAACATTAAACCATTCTAGTAACTCTGTTTCAGTAAAGGAGCAGTCCTACAGCAAGGCCTCCGATTAATTTACTTTTACACATATACCCCAGACATAAGATGATGGGAATGTTCCTGGACACTGATGCCACTTGCTAAAGAATGATACACATTTATGCCAGTAAACTGACTTAGCCTCCAAACAAGGTGACTGCAGTCAAACTCCCAGCAACAATGGTCCCTGGAACTGCTAAACTATCCCCGGGGACTGTTTTGGGGGAGCCCTAGGTCAAGGTGTTCCAGCAAGTCACTAATACAGACAGTGACACTCTAGTGCCAGGGAGTGATGCTGGACACAATCTAGTAGCGTAGTTACGTTCACAAACTACTTATAATGAGAATATATTACACATTGTAAGCATGCTTTCATCCTTTTCCTGACAATTTTAATCAAAATCCAAATCAAAGATCAGTTTGATGTTGATGTTTAATGTTGAACATCATGCTGGATAGCATACCAAGGAACAGACTGATTGATCTACTTTTTCCTACTTACAGCTTCTATGCTTCCTAAATGTAAACATGCATAGTTAAAGCCAATAAAACTCATCATACTGAAGATGCACTTTTTTAACAGTGAATTAGCTACTGAAACAATTTGCCAAAAGCTCTTACAGATTCTCCATCACTAGAAAATCTGAAAATAAGGCTGTATCTTTTTCTACATAATCCACTTTGATTTTGCCACAGATCTCAGAAACAGGTTACTTCGCCCGACTCCTATAGTTTGAATGTGCAATAGGATACAAGAACCATGCCTTTTGTTTTTTAGACTCACTGTATAGTTAGAGAATCTGTAAATCAACTAGACCACTGAAATTGATTCTGCTTACTTTGGCAGTAACTATACAAAAATACAGTATTTTGCTTAACATTACATTTTATTTGTAGGAAATTTGCAACGGTAAATTGAACTACCTGAACTTCTCCTTGTTAGGCATTTTTCCCAAATATTTCAAAATAATACTAATGAAAAAAATTCATTAACACTACAGCATAAAAGAATTGCAAGAGTTCTTGCTGCGTTCTGCAGTCCCAAACCTATAACTGTATTAGATATAACAGCTTAGAGATCCTCTTTCTGACCAAAAGACCAACTGTCACAACAGACCCTGACAATGCTTGGGCTTGTGCATGTACTTTATTCAGTTTATTAGTGTGGATGTAGTCTAAGTGTCTATTGTACCAGATCCATTTTCCTACCTCTGAAACTGTGTAACAAAACCAAAATAAAACCTATCTGCAATGTGAGCATTGCCAATAATGCTTGTATGTGTAAAAATACTGAACTTGATATTAAACTCTATAGAGGTTTTACCAAAAGTGAGGTTTTATACTTGCAAATTTCTTTAGCTCACCTTGGTGCAAATTCATCAATGGTAAGGCCAGCTTTAAGTCCAGTTCTGCAGTACTCCAAGCCATCTGCTATAGTATAAGCTAATTCCAGAATGGCATCAGCGCCTGCCTCTTGCATATGGTACCCACTGATTGAAATGGAATTAAATTTTGGCATATACTGTAAAAATAAAAGACAACAGGGTACAACAGCAGAAGGAGGGATCTGATAATTGGTCTATCAATGTTCACAAATAATCTCTTTGTAGACTGTGAATACAACCCATCTCTATTAAGTGATGTTTGCAGATGTTTACTTCACATGCTTTTACCTTTTTGCACTATTTATTGTGCTTAAACTATCACCCACCATGTCTTCAATTACAGGCTGTGTGCTACCTCTCCAATGAAAATGCAACTAAGAAAACAACTGATACTACTTCACTACCAGTCTTCAGTTCAGGACTTCACTCCTTTCATTATCTCTTTCTCGTGCTTAATTTTGCAGCAGAAGTCCTTCAAGATTTCCCACCTCTTCGCTCCTACTTACAGCTGTATAATGCTTCTAACTGTGGTGCTTCTTATTTTCTATGTAAAGAACAGCCTGTCTGTTTCTCGTCTCCAAGGTTCCTGCCATTCTTTCAGGCTTAGGCTCATCTTAATCTGACTTTGATTTGGACTGACTTAAAAATCTTAAAATTTATGCTGTAAGTGATTTGGAATCTTAATTTCTCCTCCTGGCCCTTTCCACAACCACATCATTCTTCACTATGACAGGTCTTCCCATCTTCTGTTTTTTTCTCCAAAGTGCCTCATAAATAGTTTACTAGATGTAATAACAGAAGTAAGTACATTTAAACAACGAATACCTTTGAGGTGTACTGGAAGATGTCAGCAATAATCCGCATCGATGGTTCTGGGGGGAAAATGTACGTATTTCGGACCATGAACTCCTTCAAGATGTCATTTTGGATTGTCCCTGTCAGCTTGGCCTGAGGCACTCCCTGTTCTTCTCCAGTTACAATGAAAGTTGCCAACACAGGAATGACTGCCCCGTTCATTGTCATAGAAACTGACATTTTCTCTAAAGGAATTCCATCAAAAAGGATTTTGGTGTCTTCCACTGTATCAATGGCAACTCCAGCCATTCCAACGTCTCCTCGAACTCGTGGATTGTCTGAATCATAACCACGGTGAGTGGCTAAATCAAAAGCAACAGATAATCCCTGCTGGCCAGCTAAAGAAAAAAAAACAACAACAAAAACTCAACAAAAAAACAATTGAGAGAGAGATTCAGAAGCGTTGAACAGACTTGCATTAGAACTGTATCTAAATTTATTAATTTTATTTTACATGATCCAGGCTTGGATGACAAACCGATTTTTGATGTTAAACACTGTCCCCTACCCAAACTTGTCCAAGGACTTCTAGTCTTGGACTTTAAATGAAAAAAGCTTTTAACTGGGGGAAAAAAATTGCAGTCCTTCTAGCTCAGCCACAAAACCAGCTTACTGTGCTTAACAAATTACTGAATAACAGTTTAGCCACAAGTTATAAATGTGCATAGCTAGACGGTATCAGGGCTTATATACAGAAATTCTACTTAGCTTAGCTGGAAACAAAAGTGTGATAAACTATGTCACATTACCTTCTTTTTATCACAAATTAAACACATGCACACAGGTTGCTACCCTGGCTCTAGTGACATACGTTGTTTCTTTATAAAGCAAAGTGATGTGTTACTAAATCTACGGTAGGAAAAAAATAATTCATATAAAGCAGGGAACGGGACAGTTAGAGCTCTTTGCAGATTTGTTACTGCAACCTGAAAGCAGCACCTGAAACCCTGCTACCTCCAGGCATTCACCCTCTGACCAGAACCGCTATTCCTAAAGTAACTATCTACTGCATTTGCAAATGCACTTCTCAACAACAGCAGCACTTGTCAGATACCAGCTATCATCTTTGATCTGAAAAGCTAGGTATTAGCTCTGAAGCATAATTACAAAAATTTAAATTTCTGCCTAGTTTCAAGCAATAGAATGTCAAGAAAACTAATAATTTATTCTTTTTCAGCCTTTTTCTAATTACAGAGAGATTTTAATTGAATTATTAAAAATGCTTTACAAATGACTAGGTCAGATTCAGGATCTATGCTAAATAATTCAATATTAATAAAACCATTAACACAACAAGATAAAATTACAGCATCACAATGTCAAAACTCGAATAAAGATAAAAAATTCCTGGCAGCAGACATTCTTGAGTAACTGAGCTGTGCCACCAGGTAACCCAAGTGTTAGCACTCCTGCTTCAGCAGCAACGTTCAGCAGTAAGAGTATATTGAGAACAATCTTTCTATTGAAATGTTTATTTGCAAACCTCTAATAACCTGTATTTATAATTTCTTAACTTACTGAGAATTTTATAAATGACAAGAATCAAGAATACTTGCAAGGAAACTGCAGCAGCTGATACTGCTTCATATTAGCTAACCATGATATTGCACGAGGTAAAAATCCCCAAACAACTCCTCCCCCCTAGCCTAAACAGTTATGTTTTGAGTAGGAGGGACTGTAAAGTGGGAAATAAAAGTGTCACAGATGTATTACTCAGAAGATAACTTTCAGTGGTGTGTTGTTTTGACTGTTAAGGTTATAACTAGTTTCAAACAATTGCTGAGATGCATGGCTGGTGTAGAACTAATGCTTCAGTCTATCAAAAACAACTTTTTAGTAGTGGTGTTACAATGCCTAGCTCAATAGTGTATCATGATGACGCTCCAGCTATTAGCTAAACAAATTGCTGCAAAGCACAATAATCTGCAGAAATATTGGAACAACTGCTCTCAAATAAGGAAAATACCCATACTTTTAGGAAGCTGGCTTTACTAATACACCATGAATGACACTATTCATATGAATTTATGAGTTCATTTAAAATGTATAATATGAGATAGAAACCCCAAATGCCAGAACGCACTAACACCAGAAGTTTAGCTAAGTGAAAAAGTTCAACATTTTTTTTCCACTAAAATCTTCTCTCATGGTCACAAAACAAGCGTAAAGTGCTCATGATCTCTGCCGGTTGGACCCTGGCATGCAGCCAAATTATGCCTCTATAAGTGTTAAGGCAGAATAACTAAAAGTAGCATTTAACACATTCATTTTTCCATCTCAATAGCAAAATGAAGCAAAGGCAGTTTCAGAAATGATCAAATTTCCCAGTAATAAAGAAATACAGTACCACTGGGAAGATCCTATCAGAAACCAAAACTCACAAGGTGGAATAATCACATTTGCCATGTAATTCACCATATGAATGTTCCCCATTGCTTTGCAAGGCAACGTTGTTTCCCAAATCAGCGGTCTTACCTTTAATGTTGTCCTTGTAGAACTTATTGCTCTCTTCCACTGTACTGAAGCCAGCATATTGGCGGATAGTCCACGGCCTGTATGTGTACATGGTTGGGTAGGGTCCTCGAGTGAAAGGTTTCACCCCTGGCAGCTCCTCAGGGAAGTCTTTCGTGTCCCTTTTGGAGTATAAAGGCTTGATGTCGATCCCCTCTGGGGTGTGCCAAATTAAATCCTTCGGATTCTTGCCTTTCAGCTGCTTTTCAGCAAGGGCAGCCCACTCGGGGTGCAGCGGCTGCCTGTGCAGCGAACGCCACGTGAACCGGCAGGCTGGAAGTTGTGCCAGACACATGCAGTGGTGGGGCCACAGGCGCAGGAGAGCATCCTTGGCTCTCAGCATGTCTGTACCACGGGTTGGCGAGTATGGTGTAAGCTGAAGAAAATAAAAACACCTAATTTGCATTATCATATAAATCCGACATGGGAGAAGTGAGCGTGGAGAGGTCAAGCAGTTTGCTAAAGCCAGAAAAATTAGTCAGGAAAAAACTAAGTGTACTTACTCATTTAATAAACATGCCCTCCCCTTGCCTTTCAACCAGACAATGCATAAAACACAGTTCAGGAAAAATCCTATATTTTTCTCTAGCCAAGGAAAACATTCCTACAACTCATCTACATCCACATATGAAATGTGCAACTTTTTTTCAGTCCTTAAGCAGCACCACCATTTATCCGTCACCAAAAAGTCAGCGTTACGTATGAAGATGGCATGCCTAGCTACCTTCTCACCTTCCCATCTCTTTCTCATCTACGAACTCCTTTATGTCAAAGAGGGACCTTCACCATCAAAGAGACACTCTAAAGGAAGTTGACTGTCAGAAAACTGCTGACATGTCGTACACTTTGGTAAAGGTGGCTTGGGCTGGATGAAAATCCAAGCTATACTAAGAAAGAAAGGAGCAAAAAAATGCAGTATGCAAGAACACAGGGATAACACAAGTTGCAGAGCTTGTCTCACCATGCACGAGATTGAGATGGTGGACAAGTTCAGTAATTCCTGAAAGCTGTAAGCTCCTCTGCTTCTCCTCTCCGTACCCTACCCCTGCACTTCCTCCCCAAGCCAAAACCTGTACAGCTTGGCTCCAAGGGCCAGTCGCCTCCTCTACGCCTCATCTCCTTCACAACTACCTGGAAGCACACTTCCCCGACACCTTTATGAGAAAGTCTGCGTGAAACTGGAAAGCGCCTCTATCACTCTTACGCTGCTGCTGCAACACGCTCCACACAACTGCTTTAACAATACAGATGCTACGTGTGGTATCCAGATAATCCGGTGAGCACAAGGGAGCTCCAGAGGAGCACAGGGTTCCCCTCAGAGACGTGACCCTGCAGCCAGGATGGACGGCAACCTCTGCCCCCGCTGCTGCACGGGTCCCAACGCGCCCCCCCCAGCCCCGTACCCCAAAAAGAACCACAAAACTGCCCTGCCACCCTCCTCCACACCCCCCCTCCACAGCACCCACAGCCCGAGCGGGGCAGAGACCAAAAAAACCCACCGTTCACCCCCCCACACCGCCCTCACAGGCCCGCCTGTACGCAGCGCCCAGGGCCCAGCACACCCAACCGCCGCAGCCCGGCCCCAACACGGTCCCCTCGGTGGCCAACAGGTACCGGGGACCGGTATGGGGGCTGCGCCCCGGAAGGTCGCGGCCCTACCCGCCCGAGTAGGACCGGGGACACGAATCGAGCTGAGGACGGACCCGAACCCGGGGCCCTGTCGCCCCCCGCTCGCCGCTACCTAACACCCTCGCAGCAGTGCGCATGCGCCCGGGGCGGCAGGGCGCATGCGCAGAGCACCGCCCCCAGCGCCCCGCCTTCCTGTCGCAGCCGGCGGGAACGAGCAGCGCGCATGCGCCGTAGGTGAGCGGGGAGGGAGGGAAAACGGTTTGCGAAGGGCTCGGCGGAATCGGCGGAGCGTTGAGGAGGAGGAGGAGGCGGCGAGGCGGTGAGTTCTCGGGGCGGGATGAGCTGGTGGGAGGGTTTGTGGAGGTTCCCGCGGTGTTATTCGGTAGCACCGGGGAGAAGGAGTTTGGGGGGTATTGGGGGGGTGTTGGTGGTGAAGACTACAACTCCCAGCATGCCTTTCGCTCAGTTGGCCTGTGGCGCGGCGGCGGTGGGCAGCGTTGCGTGCCGGGAGTTGTAGTCCGCGCCGCGCAGTCTGAGGGACGCTGCAACTGTTGTCCCACAAAATCCGTCGTTCCGGGAGGCGGAGGGGAGAGGCAGGGCTGGCGTACCTGGTGTCGGTCGCGACTGTCGCCTGGTGAGCCGGGATGGGGCCTGTGCGTGAGGGAAGAAGTGGCCTGAGGGGACGAAAGAGCAACTGAATACACCTGAGTCGTTGTGCTCAGTAAAGAGCGGGCTGGTGGGGTCTAACGGTTACTCCCTTCTGTGTGACTTCTTTGTCCTCCATCTCTAGAGTGAGTAAGAGAAGAAACTGTAGAAACTGCCCCAAGGAACGTCATGGTTAGGTGCTAGGGTAAAAAGTTCTGGTAGTAGGATCGCTGCACTGAACTGCATTAGAAAGATAAAGAATGTTTATTGTTGGAGGCCTTTAAGAACAAACCAGGCTGTTCTTAGTGCAGTTACCGGTGCATTGCTGTTGCTGCTCTTTGACATACAGGCACGCTGGCTTTTAAGCTTAGAAAGAGATGTGGAATACGCAAAGACTTGTTGTCCAGGGCTTGGCTGGGATAGAGTTAATTTTCTTCCTAGTAGCTGGTATGGTGGTTTGGGTTCAGTATGAGAAGAATGTTGATAACACACTGATGTTTTCAGTTGTTGCTCAGTAGTCTAAAATCAAGGATTTTTCAGCTTCTGATGGCCAGCCAGCGAGAAGGCTGGAGGGGCACAAGAAGTTGGGAGGGGACACAGCCAGGGCAGCTGACCCCAACTGGCCAAAGGGGTATTCCAGACCATGTGACGTCATGCCCAGTATATAAACTGGAGGGAGTGGAGCTGGGGGGAATCACCCCCTCAGGAACTAACTGGGCATCGGTCAGCAAGTGGTGAGCAATTGCATTGTGCATCACTTGTTTTGTATATTTGAATTTTTTTATTATTATAGTTGTCACTTTATTATTGTTATCATTATTTTCTTCCTTTCTGTTATATTAAACTGTTCTTTTCTCAACACACAAATTTTACCTTTTTTTTTTCCCTCATTCTCTCCCCCATCTGACTGGGTGGGGGGAAGTGAGTGAGCGGCTGCGTGGTGCTTAGTTGCTGGCCGGTATTAAACCATAACACTTGTCTAAAAGGCAAATGGGGATGCTTTTTTAGTAGTCCTGCACTTAGATAAATAAATGTGGAAGATTTAGGCTTTGGGTTAGCCAATATGCAAAAATTTGGGCTCATTTAGCACTAGGTATTTCTGTCATTTTGCTTGTTAATGTGCGGTTTGTACTTTATAGATTATAAGTGCTGGATTTTAATTTTGTTTTTGTTTCCTCCTGTTCCATTTGGTTTACAGGTAATGAAACGCCACCACACATCTTCCAGTAAAATGGGGAAGACCGCTGGTGGAGGATCAGCAAGAAAACCATTTCAATCAGAAAATCAGCAAGGGCCCTCCAGCAAAAAAAAGGGAACAGATGGAGAAGGAGGAAAACAAGGTCAAAAAAGAAGGTAATAATTATTTTGGATCAAAAGTAACCAAAGGGGAAAAAAAAGGGGCATTTTTGTCCATTTTTTTACTGGAATTTATGCGGAATATTTCATTAACTAATTGTAGTCCTCTTGAGAAAATGTCCAGTGTAAACAGCTCTTTTGAGACCCACTGACTTAGCTGCTCCCAAGTTTCCAGAATTTCTAGTTGCGTGCTACTATGCCTGTGACAAGTAGAGGGAAGCATTGCCTGGTCATTAATAGAAAGGCAAGCTGGGTGTGCAGTTTTGAAGAGCTGCATGGCATCTGTTTGACCAGAGTGATAGAGTTCATTCAGCTCAGGTGATGTTTATTCAGTTCTGGAAAATATTCTCTGCATGTCTCAGGATTGGCCTAGACAGCTTTCTGTTGGAGATGGCTCACTTAAGCACTGAACTTAGGAATGGCATGATCTCAAGATGTGGCTGGATAGCCAAACTTCTTGTGTGTTTCTTATTTCATGACCTCATTCTTGGAATGGGAGGAATTAAGAAGAGTGAATTGCTTTCCTTTCAGGTCACTCAGACAGTCAAAAGGAAAGCTAAGGAACAACGGGACTATTCCCCTGCAGGTAGGATTGTATTCTTTCCTTATGTTTGTCTCGTGCAAATTCAGTGTTTTGAAAAAACACTGAAAGTAAAAGTAATAACTGCTGTGTTGAAATCATAGGTGTCTGAAATGTCACTGAAATAAGTTTCAAAGTTTTCTCTCTGAACGGTAACTGAGTATTCACAGTACAGTCTTAGCCGGTGTATGTTAATATTATATGTGTTGTATATGCACGTATTAATCATATGCTTTTGTTTGCAAGTAGTGTTAGTCTCTTGTAAAATTCCACTACAAGCACCCAGAACATTTTAACTTTCTCATCACAGGTCAGGTCAATGTCTTCTTTGTTAACCTTTGGTCTTAAGACTGGCATGTGTTGTGTTGAACATACAGATGAGATGAGGCCCCTGCTGAACTGAGATTCTTATGTATATTCCCGCTCTTTTGTTTATTTCATTCTGGGTTTTCTCACTTGTATTGCCAATGATTTTTAGGAAAGTATCTGTTTAGAATGAAATTGCTGTAAGAAAGAACCTTTTCTATTTTGTGCTTTTTGAACAACTTGTGATTTGCAAATAAGAAGTACCACCTAGTGTGGATAGATTTGACCTGGTAGTTTTGTGACATGGAAAAATCTTAACTGTTACACCTTTGACTACGATCTGACTGAATTGAGTCACGAAGCTTTCTATCCAGGTTTGACAAATCATATCTTTTCCTTTTTTCCTTTGTGTAAACAGGAGAAAAAGGTTCTTCAAAAAAGGTGAAGCTAACCAGTGCTAAAACAGGATCTTGGCAGACTCTCTCAGAGAGCAGTAGGCAGTTTCTGGAAACTGTTATGGATTCAACAATACTGTAAGTGCCAAATATCCTGGTGGTGGTTCTTTGTTTCCACAAGGAATAAAGTAAAAATCATAACATTGCTTGAACTGGAAAAGCTTTGGAGCTTTTTTGGGCAGTATGGCTGGCTGTGTTAGTTTTGTCCAGTATAATGTAAAACTTTCTATCTGAAGTTGGAAATTTTTAGCTAGAGAAGTTCTGACTATGTTCACTTCACTTGATGTGTTCTCTGTGCTTGCAGGGTTCATGATGAAAATTCTTTATTTTCTTTCCAGATCTGTTTTGTGCCAACGAATTGAAAGAAAAGATGATGTTCAGAGGCACCTCAATTTACTGAAAGAAAGGTAAGAAATTATAATTAAAAAAAAAAAAAGAGGGAGAGAAGGGATTTAGTTTACCCAGTTGTTTTGTACCATGCTTACAGAATTGCTCCTGTGAGCAATCTCATTTAGGAAATCTTGGAAGGGAGAGTTGATGCAAAATCAAGGAGGGAAGTACCTCAACGATATGTTGCTTGAAGTGGACAAGCAAGAGTTGTTGAAAGACTCACTTTAACTATTTCTATATGAGTAACAGAACCTAGGAGGTATTCTTCAGAGGTCCTTGAATCAGCTTTGTATTTTTTATATGGGGTTTAAATTTGTGGGCAGCTATTTATTTTGTTATCATTTTATGATAGTGGCGGGAGCAGTTATAGCTAAATTTTCTTAAATGCTAATTCATTTTCTGACTGCTGAAGTTACTTCGAAGAGAATTGAAATTTTGTGTTGAGGCGTAACTTGTAGCCTTTTTATGTCATTGTGGGAATAATTACGTATGCTTGAGTGTCTGCGAACTTTTGTGTGCGTGTGTGTCGGTATACCAGGCTCTTATCAGTATAGAGCCTGAGCCTATGTGTTGCTTTCTTCATTCTTGCAGTACTTCAAGATTCAAATATGAGGAGCAGGTTTTTCATAAATGTTTGGGTTTGTTTGGTTTTTTTTAATGTTTAGTTTGTGACAATTTTAATTTCTGAGTTGCCAAACTTCTGCAATCTCATCTGAGATGCATGGAAATTGTGGCAGTTTGGTGTATCTAACGGACAGATACAACTTAGAAGAATTCAAGTCTTCCTCAGAATCAGAAGGACTTTTGAGACCAAGCTAAAACTCTTCCTCTGGCATAAAACTATATATCATGTTTCACAAAAGCATTTACAGATTTTACTAAAATGATCTTTGTTTGGAAGCAGTTAAAAATGCTGCTTTTAGAACTTACTTTTACTTTGAAAAACAGAAAGGTCAGAACTGGGAAAATATTAGTTCACATCAGTTTACAGTCACGGAGTGTAGAGGCCAATGGGATAAAAACCACACAGTGTCAGTGTAATAGCAAAGGTTAGAATGGTGGGATTTCTTGTTCCTGGTTCTTTCCTTAGACAGCTATTCCACGTGATTTTGGAAAACAATTCAAGACAGCTTTTCTTCCTGTCTGGATCGTTTTACTTCACTGGCAGGAATTGGGCTAAACTGAGTTTAGTTTTTCCCAAAGAAGTCATTAGTCAGTTTTCTTTTTGTTTTGCAAAGAACTCCAAACAAGTCATGCTTTCCTTTTTCTGTAATAAAGGGTGCTGAGATTTTTCAAGACTTTAAAAGTGCCTCCGGGGAAGCTGGGCAACCTGAAGAATATCCCGAGCCTTCAAATGGCAGAGAAACAAATGCTTGAGACAAATGAAGAGTCTTTGGTACAGTTGCAGGTATGCAAGGCAAGGAAGGGAAGAAAATATCTTACCTGTCTGCTGCTGCTCCGTGTGTTGTAACTTTTTAGTAGATGGACTGCTGGCTATGCCTGTGCTGTTGTGGACGAGTTGTCCACTGTTCATGTTTGTCATCCACCTTCACTACAAAGCAATGTATCTTTCTGGATGGTTTTTCAGTGACTCAGCTGATGCTGATTATCAGTATCTTATACGCAAAAGGCCCACCATCTCTAAAGTAAATTTTGTTCTGGTTTTGTGTCTGTTTTGTCTTAGGAAGAAATAAATGAAGCTGAGCAATCAGCAGAACGCATTGAAGAAACTATACAGCAGCTGCAGCACAAAATCCAGGTGCTCAAGAACCAGTTAGAGGAAGATGAAAAAAAGGCCAGGAAGGTATTTCCAATAGATGTTGCTGCACTCCTCTAACCTAGAGGAATCGGCTAGCTTCCAGAACTATACAATACAAGCTGTTTCTGCAGACAGTGTCATGTAAGGAAGGATTTATTTTCCTTCAGGAATGTATCTTTTCAATCTTTCTAACTTCAGTCGCAAAATCAGGAAGTGTAGTTTTCAGAAGTCAGATAATGACAACCAGTTTATTTTCCTACATGTGTGCCTGATGTTTGGTTTTGGATTATTTTTAATGTCTCTTTTTCCCTTTCTAGGTATTCCAGGAAAATGGCAGTGGAGCACTCTGCCTTCCAGAGCTCCCCAGGCGCAGTTTACAGGCACCTACTTTGCAGGTGAGCAGGGAATATATTTTTAGAGACACCTTGGCTATGAGAAGGAAGGCAACAGAATGTGCTTTTATCACTTAACCTCTGCCAGAGGGGGCAGTTCTGAAATAACCGAAATTTTGTTTTTTTTATTTTTTTTTTTTCCTTGAGAGCTATATGCTTATGTTTTAAAAGCAGAACAAAACCCTAGAAAAACTGCTGTTTAAAGGATCACATGTCTTTTCCTAGGAACCTTATGGTTCTAGGGAACCTGTAATAATTTCTGAAATATATCTCTCTGTAACTGATGGAAGGAAGACTGTCTCGTTTTGTGTCTTTAAATCTTTTTTTGTTTGAGCTGTATTTAGGTACAGCTAGGCTGCATGAAAGTGAAAATTCTGTTGGACTTAATGAAAGCTGATTTTTATTTGTTGTCTATTATTCTTTCTTTCTTTAGGAAGAAATTTTGAAGATAAAAAATCAGAAAGGTCTTTTAAAGGATATGAACACTATTCAGCAGTCAGCTGCCTTGAAGAACATGTTAACCCTCATTGAAAAGACCTATGAGAAGGTGGACTTCCTTTGAGAAACGAAATATATGGAGTCTCCTTTGCAGAAGATAACCTAGGCCAACACTCTGTGTTAATGTAGAGCAGCAGAATGCCAATCATGGAAACAGTGTTTTCCTCCTAATGGCTTTACTGTTGTGACTGCTGAATTTCTGTTAAAACATTTTCTATGTGTATTGGTATACAAGTCTGTAAGTGCTTTCTGAGACTTCAGTGATTTAAGTGATCAATCAAAGTTTTTTGTCAGGTGGGTTTTGGACCTGTGATGACTTCTAATGATGATATACACTCTCTTAGGAGAAGAGAGGGAAATGGATCCTGAGTTTATTTGGGCATTTTCATGGACTAAAGCAACCTAGTCCATCATATTTGCACTTGTATATCACATCTGTAAATCGGTGAAGGTAGTATCTCATAGCAAACTAACTTCTGTTTTGGGCTTAAATCCTCTTTAAACCTGAAACATGTAGTAAAAACATGATTATCTAATGCTCAGTTACAAATCCCCTGTTCCAACTTTCATATCATTTTTTAATAAAAAACCTCCATGGCAGGAAATTGAATAATTTATCAAATGTACAGGGTTTTTTTCATTTTCATGTTCACCACTTAAACCAGGTGTCTTTTTCCATGTCATTCCTGAATTTGTCTGGGCAACAGAGCAAAAGAGAGAAAGAGAGAGGCAAGCCATGGGGAGAAGGGAGAGAAGATTTGAGGGGCTAGCCTGTTGGAGAAACAAGGTTAGGTCAGTCTCTCTACTTGAGCAAATGAGCCACGAGCTTCAGGGCAAGGACCTTAGAGAACCGAGCCTACAGAATGCATGCTTTGTTTACTGAGGGTATCCAGTTATGGAATATTCAGGAAAAATCCTAATGACCCTCTGGACTCAGGTCAACTTGGCTTCAGGTTTTTCTGAGAAGGGATCTGCTGTAACAAGTACACAAGTGCTATTTCTTTGCATATGGTAGGCTGTGGCAGATACATCCATATTTGTGAAATAAATTTTCAGGGCTGTTTGACTTGTAGCATTCCATCACTGGAAGAAGGTCAACAGAAAATAGCAGGGAAATGAGAGAGAAATAACAATTAAAGAAGAAATTGCCACTCTAAAGATGCAAGTGTCATGTGGAGGGAGAGTTTCTGTTTCTTCTCAGGGTGACCTGCAGTCAGTCAGCTGGTGCGTCTGACAGCAGTGTACCCAAACTGTCCAAGGCAACTGGGCAGACCAACAAAGTACTCTTGTGATTATAACTGTGGGCCTTTTTGGCGAATATTAGATGTGAATGAATGTCCTGTTTCTAGTACAAGTGGGTTCTGCCTTCTTCTGAAGTGTGTGGGTCTCACCTGGAGGAGTTACAGCCTCCGTGATGGTGTTCATCCTGGTGATCTTGCAAACATCAAGCAACGGTGCTATAACTCATGCACAATCTGGCATTGCCATCTTGCAGATGACGTCCACCCTCTTCTGAATTAGTAAAGACCTAGAAACGGAGGTTTAGCCTCTCCAGGGCTGGTGGCAGCTGGTGGCAAGAATTAGTGAAAGTAACAGGGGCCTGTTTTGCTCATGAAAAAATAATTTCTTCTCATAATTCTGTCTCCAAACCTTCAAGTGAAAAGCAGTGTTTAAATTGAGTGGTTTTTTTCTGAAATGTTAGAACTGGAAAGAGACTAAAAAATCCATTTTAATCTGGTTCTATCTTTGAAGATAAATACTTGGAAAAGCCTCAGATAGTAGGTTAATGGAGGTCACATAAATCAATATGTACAAAGGTGGTTAGATAAGATTAGCTGTTTCGTACAAACAAAAACTCTCTCAGGAGAACACAGTGCAATTGTATCATCTCCCACATCTTCCTGCACTGTGATCATGCTTTCAGTTATCACGTTCTTTCTATGGCTTCAGAGTCTTTTTTTGTAAGACAAATGCAAGACTTTGTGTTACATTAGATTTCTGATATTACTGGGATAAATGCGATTTGATTAAAGGTTAATAGGAGCGAGAAATGCAAACATCTGATTTGTTTTGAGTACTTTGATGATATGAGAAGAAACAGCTTCAGAAAATGAAGTGTGATCACCAGCTTCCAACACCTTTTCTACAGTGATTCCCTTATTCAAACCTTGCCTTCAGTGGAACTCCCCCATATTTTCATAAGTGTTTTTAACATTTAAAATTCAGGGGCAGAGAATGGAAAAAATATTTTTATTCCTGGTGAAGCCAATTAAATTGTAATTTTTCACAGATATCAGCTAACTGATGAAAAACATCACCTTCTCCAACTGCAAACATAGCTCAGAAGACAGACTTACATAAGATTGCAATGGAAATGTCCTGTAAGTTACATTAGTTTTTCTCACAGGAACCCTGAACTAAATAACAACAGAGGCTGTGAGGATCTGGAGGACTACAACTTCCAGTGCAGCAGCTCTGATTTACTAAAAGTTGTTCCCCTTGAGATGCAAAATGGTACCCAATAATGAGGATGCACAGTTAGCACAGTCGGCGCTTCAGAGAGGAGAATAATATGAGGATATACAGCTCAATCAGCACCATGAAGATATGTAGGAGTATTCTGCTATTGTATCTAGTAAGTTTGACCATTCTTCTGCATTGCTTTTCTGATCTGTCCTCTACTGGAGTGGAGACAACTGTGTGTTGTTTAAAATGGCCAGGCTGAAGGATGGCTTTGGAGACATCTGTAAAAGCTCACAAAAAGCGGAGAAAAAATAGACTCCTGCTGCCATTACACCTGTATGGTCCTCTGTGGTCACAGGAGTCTGTGGATTTATGTATTAGCAAAAAAAGACTATCAAATCATAGTCCAGATCCTAAAATGTCTACTGAAAGGCTAGTGCACCTAACTGTGTTCAGACCTGAAATGAATACTCCAGGGGCAGGAAAAAACATGAACTTTTTGCAGGCATCTTGTAAAGAACAGGAAGAGCTCCACATTGGCAAGGTTTTCACCTGCACCTGCTCTGTAGCCTGGATTGGAAAGTAGGAGAGACACGAGTTTAAAATTTTTTTTGCCTCCTGAAATTTGGAAACAAATAAAACCCTCGTTTGTGAATCGAGAAACTAAAATAAACAGATCTAAGTGAGAAGTTTACTACTCCTTTGTAAAAATTTTCCTTAAAATGAAAAGGAAATTATTACATTAGAAGAATTAAAGAAGAGGGCAAATTTGCTCCTGAAAATAAAAATGATGCAACTACTCATGCAGGTTTTTGGATTCTCATATATTTTCACTTTTGAGTCTTTAATCATTTGTCTCTATCTTGTAGTCTATATTTGAACACTCATAGATGTTTGAAGTATCTGCATTACCTGAAACATGCACACAGGGCTTATATGGCACAGGATCTGCCCCCCAGCCTGGCAGCTGAAGGCCAAGCAAAAGGTCTGAGGGTATCTAAAATGGTTCTAGAGACTTGGGGATAAAGCAATTGAACTGTGCTCCGTATATCAACTTTGAAGTGGATTGAATCTTTTCATAATTATTGAATTGTTTACAGCCTAATGATCAGAATCTTGTTTGGGTAAGGAAACAAAGGCATATGGTGAAGTGTTGATATGAAACCCCCCAAGCCAAGGGAATGAGGTCAAACGAAAGGGAATGTTCAGAGGAGTGTCTCCTTCAAGGAGAAGGAATGAGTGTCTTGCTTCAAGGCCTACTCTCAGGAGAAATGGCAGAGCAGGGAATATTGTCCTTCCAGTGCCAAGTAAAATAGCCAACCTAAGAAAAGCTGAGCTTTAAGGCATACCACAGGCGGTCAGTAGTGATTACTGCCCAGGCAGAGGCAGGGACTGAATGCTCCTGAAAGGCAGAAGAATTAGGGAGAAGAGCCAAGGGGAGAAACCTCAGTGAGGCATTGGGGAACATTGGTACATCCAACCCAGCTTCAAACCCATCTGCCTGCCAAGACGAAACAGCCCTTCTGTTCCAGAGACCTGAAGCTCTGAACATCCCTACAGAGGCTCTGCAGGGCTTATCTTTAAGCAGGATACTACAAGCTAAGCACAGCTTCGTGGTCCACGTGTCTCTTTGGAGAAACCTGGACTCGAGAACATTTCTGGGGGATATGCTTTCAACAAACACATGTTACCAAATGAAAACTGAAGTAAAAATATGAAAGTTGAGGGTCTGTATTCTTTAGCCCAGATTGATCCATGAGTCATCAATTAGTCCACACTTCTGGTCCGCTTCCGCCCTCCCCCAATAAATAAATAAAAAAAGAACACCATTTTGGTTTAGAAGTACTGGAAACCTTCATTAAGATGTAATGTTGTGAATCATTTTGGACAATGAACTAAGGCAGCAGATATCATGAAAAAGGAATTTAAACTTTTTTTTTTAAACAAACTGGTGCTGATTAGAGCTCTAAGAACGTGTTACAGCACACATTTTATAGGGTTTGGGTGTGATGTTAAATGAAATAGCAGGGCTGAGGTCCAGGTCTGAGGTAGAAACTCCAGGGGGAGGGTGGAAGGTGAACTTCTGCAGGAGACTGGTGAAGAAGAGGAAGAGCTCCATTTTCGCAAGAGTCTCACCAGCGCAGATCCTCCGCCCTGAAACAAAATGCAGAAATGCCATAAAGAGTCAGTGGGAGCTGCTTCTTCAATAGTTGGAAGAAATAAAAATTTCTGAGCAGCTCTTATTCTGAGGAAGATCAGTGGGAATCCAGAACATTTGAAATGTCATATCCTAGCTATAAATAAAGAATACAGTAGCTCTTAAAAGTCTATTGAGTACAAGAATCATCTGAGAAAGAGGATACTTGGTCTTCAGAGGTATGATGACAAAGCCACCTGGTAATTTTTTTCTTTTCCTTTGTCTAAATGCATGCATGTGAAGAGAAATGTATGGAAATGCAATCTGAATTTCTGAATTCCAGTTTTCAATAAAATTTGTATTTTTCTTCATTTTCAGATTTTTCCTCTACTTGGTTCAATTTTTGGGTCCCAGACCAACTTTGGCTGGTTTAGTCTAGACTTTGGCTCTATTAGTCTAGTCACAGGCAATTTTTTATATTAAAATTTGTCAGAAAAGACCTTAGAGACTCACAAATGCTGGGTAGAGTGGGACTGAGGAGGAAGGTGGTGAATATATTCTGTGGAGCCCCTAATATAAGCCTTTCTTCAAAAGTGCTGTGAATATAATTTTTTCTCAGTCCTGGTCAAATCCAGCATCTATAATCTGCCTTAATCAGACCATGATGACTCAAGGCCAGAACTAACAGAAACCTCAACTAAGATTTTATTTTAACTCCCTTGTATGACAGAAGTGGAAAATGAAGAGCTATTTCATGTCTGTGCTATGAAATAAGCCCTCCAAGGGAATGCCCAGACCTGACATTCCCTGGATATGCTTTCAGCTAGGACATCTAGACTTAAATCTGAAAAAGAAGACCTGTGAATTGGAAGTATTGTAAGTCCTTCTATGAAAAAAGAATGGGTTTCCATATGTTGGATGGTGAGTGTCAAATATCACGCAGAATTAAAAATACACAAATAAGGTCTATAAAAAATGCGGTGT